TTTTTTGATACTAATCACTTGTATTTATTTCAGGACATAATATACTATTTAGACCCAAGGACAATACTAAATCATAACACTGTTAAATGATATTTTATTTTTGCGAAGATAGGTCCTTAAAAACTGGACAGATTAATAATATAACAAATATCAAAATCAGATGAAAAATACGTTATCGCTCTCATTCACTCTGTCCTAATGTTAAAGATATTACAAAGATACACAGATTATCATCATGCTGTTCTTTTGGGAGGCTATATTCAAACTGACAAAAAGGTGTTGTCAAAGGGATCCTTCTCTGATTTTTGCGAAGAAAAACATTCCAAATTGTATTCTTAATGCTGCGTGATTTAACTGTATCATACTTAGCACATGGTATTATTATTTCTCTTACTGGAGCAAGTTCTCATTTTCTCAAAGCCTTTCCCCCAGCTCTTCTAGAAATAAAGCTTAAACATCATTTGTTTCAAGCCTTCAAAATAAAGTTAACCTCATTTATACAGGTACCAGGTTGGTATACTCATATATATATTTTCCAAATTGCAGGCTAAGCAAAGGCATGCATTTAGAGCTGTATTAATATACTGAAGCAAAAGACAATCCAACTTAATATCAAGAGAAATTGTGACCTTCCATGTAGTGTTTGATAGAGAAAACACTGATTCTGACACATTGTCTTATTTTATTCAAATAGCAGTCTGTTCACACATGGTCCAAGAACACTTGAATAATAAAGCAAATATAATCACATGTTAAAAATTGGTCTTCAAACATCATAGCCAATGATGCCACGCTTGCCTATGATCTCGCCAACATAAAACCACATCCACACCTCAGTGGCCACCAAACCATTCAGTAGAGCTTCCTTAACAGTGAGCTGTTTGAAGCTACCGGTTTTAGCATTGTTGATAATTTTTTTCAAGCTCTGAATTGCTGTAGGGATCTCAGCAGGGGTTGGAGGAACCAGCTCAACCTTGGTATAGTACCAAAACGTGGCCAATCGAGGCTTCGAGTAAGTCACAGCAGCGTTGACCAGCGCCGGGGACTTCTCCGCGAGGTTACGGACAAACTGGGCCATGGTACTAGGACGGAGAGCCCGTCGCCCCGACCGGGAGAGATTTTCTGTCTGGAAGTTGGGGCTGGTAATCTTGGGCAAAGACCCTAGGGATGAGATGAGAAGACCTTGGGGGGAGGGAAGGGTGGCTGTCTCCTTGGCGACAAGGAACAATTTCAACTGAGATGATTTCACCCAGCAAAGGGCAAAGGAGAGACAAGAGATAAGGAAGTCCTGCACTGTGTATTGGGGGGAGGGGGAAGGAGGGTCAGAGAGAGCCGGAGGCCAGCACTGTACATACATGGAGGGTGGGATGGACTGGGGTGGGAGGCCAGGGACCAGCCCTGTGGGTTGGTGGCTGAGTGGATCTGTGGACTGGGAGGTCCTGGGGCCAGCAGTGTGGGTGGTCTGGGGAGGGTGGAGGGGTTGGTCCATGGGGTCGAATTCAGGGCAGTGCTCTCTAGGCCTGGAGCCCAGGGGTGGGGACCTGGTGAGGTAAGGGCTGAGGGGGATGGGGAACAGGGAAGTCTCAGCATCGCTCTTGCCCCAGGCTGAGGATTCTTCGAGCTCCTACCGAGTCAAGTCCTTCTTTGGCTTGGTTCCTAAAACGAATGGACATCCGTCCCCAAGCTGGGCCTTCAGCATCAGACAGGCCATGAGGGAGGGGGCAGGGGCCTGGGGAACTTGTACTGTGTGTGTGTGTATGAGAGAGAGAGGGAGACAGAGAGAAAGTAAAAGACAGAGAGAGATCCGTTGGATCCAAACTCTTAAGACAGCCCCAGGAGACAAGTGGGGCCAGGAACTGCCCTCCCTGAAATGTGGTTAATTAGAACAGTCCAGACTGAGGTTGTAGAAGTAGTAAGATTCAGACTCCCTGAAGCTAGCCTCTTCTTTTAGAGGTGAGGAAACTGAGGTATAGAAAGAGGAGTGGCTGGTTAAGATCTCACAGAACTTAATAAAAGTGAATCTTCCTGCCCCCCAAGCCAGGCCCCCGTTACCCTCCAGAGAACTGGCAGTGATTGTTAAGATGACTCACTGATGGGGATCAGTGGTTATCTCCGGTCTTAACATCCATCAAAATGTTACTTCCCTCATTTTAAAATAGCATTAAATAAATAGCTCCTTTCTCACAGAGTTGATGGGAGAAGAAAATGACCAACAGCTCAGAACAGTGTCTGATGCATAGTAAGGACCCAATAAATGTCAGACATGATAATGATGACGGCGGTGATGATCATAAAAGATGACGTTGTTTTAAAGGTAATGGCCATTTGACATTGAGTCTGATCTTGCCCCGGCTGTGCTGGAGCCACAGAGCTGGGCCACCCATCCAGGAAGTAAAAGGGAAACAGCAGCCGTCTGGGGTGAGGGGTCTGTCTGCCCTTCCCCATCAGGGTCCCCAGCCTTGCATCTGCCTATTCGGTCTGCCCTTCCTGGTCTCTGCTAGGAGGTTCCCCTGTGACTCTTGAGAGGCCAGACCCCTCCTGGCCAGCAGCACCACGGCATCAGCCTGGGAGCCCCCAAGGGCAGGGCTTAGTCCTACATCACCACTTGCTCAGCCCAGCACAGTGGGCCAGCCACCCACTGCCCCCCACCCCCAACCCTCAACTCCGCCCCAGCCCCAGAGTTCAGCAGAGGCCGCTGCCTGCCACGTGGCTGCCGGACAGCCACCGCCTCCTGCCTCAGCCCCCAGGCCTGCTGTGGACCGCCAGCAGCTGACTTCCACATCACGCTTCCTCTGGGCTGACGCACACTCTTCTGGTACTTTGCACAGTCACTCATTTAATCCCGGGAGATCAGCTCTGCTCTTATCTCCGTCTCGCGGAGGAGAAAACTGCAGCAAAGAAACTTCGAGTGATTTGTCGGGGATCACGGAGCTGGTCCAGGGTGAGCCAGGCACCACTACAGTATATAGTTCTGAGGGGCCCCTTCCCCTTCCTCCTCCAGGATTTGGTGGCCGAGGTTGTTGAGTGAATGAAGGGCTTGGTGCCTTGCCTGCACACCGTGGACCGCTGTCTGGCTGCGACTATCACAGTATCAGGGTTCCACTTCCTCTCCCTTTTGATCATGTGGGAAAGGCCTCACTGCCCGTTTTGCGCTATGATTTCAGTCCTGAGGTCGGCTTTTCCGTTCTCGTCTCTTTCCCAGATCCCGACCTCTTTCTATTTCTTATTATTTGTCTCGCCACTCTACAACCCCTCGCTGTTCACCTGTGACCTGTCTCCTCTACCCTTCCCCACTTCCGGATTGTACTGAGAGTCCCAGCGTCTCTGCTTATTGGCTGTGGGGCAGACGTCTGTAAGGAACTGGCCAATCAGAAGCTTTCTTCGGCCCTGCCCCCAGCATCTCAGGATGTCAGTTCCCTGTGCGGCAGACATTCTTAGCAGGGATATGCACGCGGTGATGGGCTGGGTGGAAAGAGAAGGACTGTCTAGAGAGGCATGCGAAGAGAGAGTTTCAAGGCAAGACCGAGTTGGAACCACAGAGGCCAACCTATTTCTCCAGGTTCCTCTCTCCTAGTTCTGAATTGCTAGGCCCTCCTTCTGGGGTGTGTTAAGTACAAGGAAGGCTACTTCCAGAACTTCAGCACATTCTTTTTGCACTTCGACTTTCCTCTGCCCAGCCCGTGGGCCTTAAGAAGTGGGCATGGACCCTGATGTTTACTCACTGGTGTTTGCTCCTTTGGCCTGGGCCAAAGTAGACCAAGGCCAGATGGCGCAAGCTGGATGGTGTAACAACCCTTCCTTCTTCCTCGGCCAAGAGGCTGCCCCTGACCCAGTTCCGCTAGGGCTCTGAGGCTGAGGGGTTTGTCCACAGGGAGGAGCTACATGGAGCACCCCCAGGTCCTTGTGATGCTATCTATAGGATGGTGGAGGGAAGCAGACTTGCAGGTGCCCACTAAGACCAAGGAGCCAGCTGCCCCAGGTGACCTGCAGGTGCTGGTTGGTACTGCCAGGGGCTCCTGGCTGGGCTTGGGTTCCTGGGTGTAGTGGGGACCACAGAGCTCTGTGCTGCCTGAATAGCAACCCTGAGTGAGAGATAGAAATGCTTAGGGTGATGTGCTTTGCAAACAGAGATGACCTCTGCAAACTCTACCTGGCTTTACAAACTGTGGTTGGAGCCTTCAAATGCAGGGGGGCAGGTTGAGGCAGGAGGAGCCCACTGGCCTGTTCTGGGCTTTTCTGTGGTGTAGTGAGTGATTGAGTAAGAATTTAGCAGCCAAACGGGGACCAGCTGCCTGCTGGCTACCTGAGCCCTGAGAGTTATCAGCAAATCTGTAATGAATTTACCTGGAAGGTCTCTGGAGCTGTGGGGAGCCTGCACTGCAGACCTCAATCCATTTCCTCCTCCTGTCTGGGGCAAATCCACCTGGGGAGGGAGTGATTTCTCTAATCTGCTCCAGTCTCAGAAGCTGCCTTTGCCTCTGGGTGCATGTGTCACCTGGAGTTAGAATTAGATTTGGTTATGAGTGACAGAAAAACTCAATTCATAGTGTTTTAAATAAGCTCAGTTTTTATTTATCTCTTATACAAATGAAGTCTGGTGGAATCCAGTCCAGGTTTGTTATGGTGGCTCTGCAAATGTCAAGAATCCAGGCTCCTTCTATTTCATTGTGTCACCAATCTCAAACGTGGCCTCCAACTCATGGTGCAACATGGCTGCCAGAGCTCCAGCCATCATTGCAGCCAGCTAGAAGGGAGTGGTAAAGAGGAGTACCCTCCATACACTGTAAGTCACATCCATAAGTGACTTACAGATTACTTCTGTAAGTAATATACAGATTACTTCTCTGTATATCCCATTGGATGAAATTTAATCATATAGCTGCACCTAGCTTCAAGGGAAGACCAAAAACTGTAAACTTTAGGCTGGGTGGTCTTATGCTGAGCTTAAAATCAATAATCTTGTTGCTGAAGGAGAAAGTGGAACAAATGCTGGAATACAGCTAGCTGTCCTTTTCGCAGCATGAGACTTGAGTAGAAGGTTCTGGGTGCTGCCCCTCTGGAGAGCAGTTTGGCTGTGGGGAGTGGGGTCCTGCCTGCTCATCCAGGCTCTGCCTCCAGCTTTGGGGCTTGAAGTTCCCCTTGAAACTCTGTGGGTAGCAGGAGTACAATTCTTGTGGAGCCTCCAGTAAGGAGAGGATCAGTTTGATGATCAAGGCCAGCCACGCCATCCCAAAGAGGATCCACAGTGACACGGTGTTCTGGTACCACAGCGGGTAATTCCGGGAGGGGTTCATTCCTGAGGGAGAAGCAAGGTCAGAGGACACAGACCTGGGGAAGTCAGGGCCAAGTTCCCCAAAGAGAAACAGACCCACATGGCTTTGTGTGTATAAGCAGAACGTGGGAGGTCCAAACTGGTCTGAGATTGTTGGGATCACCTCCCTAGGATTCTAGGAAGCCTCCCTGGATTAACTCCTAGAGTTTTGACCCTAAAATTCCTCTTTGTCTTTCTGAAAGACTCTGCATATACTGTATCCCAGTGGTTCTCAAAGTGGGGTCTGTGGACCAGCACCATCAGCATTGCCTGAGAGTTTGTTAAAAGTGCACATGGTCTGGATTCCATTCCAAATCACTGAATCAGAAACTGTCATAAGAAATCCTCCAAGAGTGTATAATACCTGCTCTGCGGTTTGCCTGTTTCTATGTTTGGTTTTCTCAAAGGAAAGGCAGCTTGCCAGGAGTTTTAGGAAGAAATGGAACGGCTGGGGTTTGTATCCTGACTCAGTTCTCACTAGCTGTGTGACCGTCATCTACCAGAATGTCCTTTGCCTGTGAAATGGGGACAATAATTTCTCCTCCTTGGCTTTTAGGTCCTACGTTCTCATCCCAGTGCCACCATCTACTTCTCCAGACTGGATTTGCACGTCTCTGCCCTTGAGCGCTGGGCTGTGGCCACTCTGGTTCTTCCCCTATTTCTCCATCTATCAAGCTTCCTGCCCCAGGGCTTTTGCACTCGCTGGCCTCGCAGTTCAGAAGGCTGTTCATTTCCTCACCCTTCAGATCTCAGCTCAGAGTCTCGACTGAGCCCCTCTGTTACCCTCTCCCACAGCCCTTGTGCTTTGCCCGGGTAAGTTTCTCTCTCTGGGCCTCAGCTTCCTCATCTATGAAATGGAGACAACAAGAGGCTCCATCTTCTAGGACTGTTGTGATTATTGTAACGTTCACATCGTAACGTGCTCAGGATGGCGCCTGGCATGTAAGATCTGTAGCCAGGTGACTATTTTTCTCCCCTTTGCAGCCCCACGGGTCGGGACTGGATAAGGAACAACTGAAGGAGGAACCAGATGGGGCTCCCCGTGAGGCTTAGGTGGGTCATGCCCAGAGCCTGCTCCAGGGGTTCCCTGTTGGCTCAGTGGTCAAGAATCCGCCTGCCAAAGCAGGAGACGAGGGTTCGCTCCCGGGTCTGGGAAGATGAGCCAGACCACATGCTGCAGAGCAACTAAGCCCGCATGCCAGTTACTGAGCCGATGCTCTAGAGTCTGGGAGCTGCAACTACTGAAGCCCAAGTGCCCCGGGGCCCGTGCTCAGCAACAAGAGAAATCACCAAAATGAGAAGCCTGCACACCGCCACTAGAGAGCAGCCTCACAGCAACGAAGACCCAGCACAGCCAAAAATAAATTTGCAAATATATAAAATTATATATATAAGAGACTGCTCATAACTTAGTTCTTCCCTCTGTCCTGGGGGTCTATCTTATCTCCCTTCATCAGATCAAGATTGTTCAAAGGGCAGAGATCTGGCCTTTTATTTCCTTGACATCTTCTGTCTCCGATCTCTATACTACCCACCTCTCTGTCCACTTTCCATTCTGTCCTGCTGGCCCCAACACAACCTCTCCTCGCTGTCTTCCTCAGCCTGGACTGATCTCCTGGGTCCCAGCTCGGGGATGAGTGCACAGCCCTGGACCTGACATCACCACCTGGCAGGGGCCGGATTGGATTACGCTGATTGGGTTAGGAGGCCACGATTCCGCTGGCGGTCCCAAATGAGAGCAGCTGTGAGTCAGCTCTCTGCCCCTGGCGACCCGTCGGCATGGCGTGCTCCTGTTGATGGAGGGGAGGAGGTGTTCTTCTCCCTTCTTATTTCATTTTTTTTTTAAAGCTGAAATCATAAGCGGCAGGAGACCTGGCAGCTGGCAAGGCGCTTAACTGAGTTGCAAATGCAATTGTGGGAAGCGGGGGCTGGCTGCAGGGCCAAAGTGGAGCTAGCGGCTGGGACCTGGGGGCTGCTCTGACCACGGCGTTTGGACAAGAGGGATGGATGGCTGTGAAGACAACATGCCCTATGGCTGCTGACGTGGGACATGGAGGCCCAGAGTCCAGGTGGTGGGCCTCAGCATTCCCATCCGAGAAAGGGGTTTGACCCTGTCCCGAGAGGACAAGGAGGGCTGAGAGACATGGAGGAGAGGTGAAGGTGGATTGTCCCCTCTCAGCTATGGAAGATTCCAGACCATATGCATATGAGGGTCCCTGGCTTGGGAGTCTATCCTAGACCTGTCCTTGGCTTGCTTGCACTTTGACTTTCATTAACTTTTTCTCATCTCTGGGGCTGTAGATGAGGCAGCTGGGGGCTGGGTGTGCAGGCTGGGCATTGCACAACCCTAAAGGGCTGCCGTTCACACCGAGCACAGGGAAGATGTGCTCGTGGACCTGGTGTGGCCTCTGTCCTTGTCCCCGCTAGGCTCTATGACCTTTAAGAATTACAAGTACTATCATGTCACCTACCCAGCTCCTCTGAAAACCTTCAGAACTTTCCTGTAGTCTTAGGACAGAGTCCAAAATTCATGACTCAGCCTGAGAAGGCCCTCTATGTGACCAGGCCCTGCCTCCCTCTCCACTCGGAGCTCCCCGCTTCCCCAGTGGATATGGGTACTCAGGAAATACTCTTCTGACCAGTCCAGCTGCAGCAGCCCCAAGCCAGAGCTGTGTTATCTCACGGAAAGGGTAAGTGAGGGCACGTGTGGTCACTTGTCATGAGGCCCTGAGAAGGCTGCAGAAGGAAAAGCGTGTGGTGCAGGGGACAGAGCTGCCCACTGCCACTCCGAGGGCATGGCCTGCCCGGCACCCCTGTGGACTTAAAGGGCCCTCATGGGTTCATACCAGGCCTCCTCAGTCAGAGCATGTGGTGGGAGGGGGCTCTGGGGGGTCTGCACCCCACACACCAGCCTCCCTGCCGTGTCAGGCCCCACGGGGTGGCTCGCGGGGTAGCAGGGACCCTCTGATCAGCCCTCCTGGCTCCTGCAGAGATGGCTGTGTGGAGGTCGCTGCCCACCTCCCAAGCCCCTGCTTCCCCCACGGCAGAGGCCTTGTCTCCTACTTCCAGGGTGCCATGTCTAGAGAGGCCTGCCCCCTCCCCCGGCCCTGCCTTCCCTCAGGGGACCATGGGGCCTCAGGACATCCTCACAGAGCATCCTTAGCAGCCCACAGAGGTTCATCCAGACACGCTTCTAAGGAGCCTACTGTCAGCTCTTCCCACCTGGGACCGAACTCTGGAGCCTGAGTGATCAGTGGGCACCAAGAGACTGTAGTTAGGGGTCCCATTCCCATTCCTCTTCCTCGCCTCTTGCACTGTGCACCCTCAGAGAACAAGGACTCATGGGTTTAAAACTGGGGCAAATCCTGAGTTTCATCCTTTGAGCCCTGGGGTAGGGGGAAGCGTTGGTGGGAGGGGGCCAGAACTTCTACAGAAAAGCCCTGAGATTTTCAGAGGAGCTGGGCAGGTGACATGAATTTTTGTTTTGGCTGCCCCCCATGGCATGTGGGATCTTAGTTACCCAACCGGGGATGGAACTAAAGCCTCCGCACTGGAAGCACAGAGTCTTAACCACTGGACAGTCAGGGAAGTTCCAGAACTTGTAATTTTTAAAGGTCATAAGAGCCAAAGGGGCACAAGGATAGAGGTTGTACCAGTCCACGGGTGCCCTTCTCATTGTGTTCTGTGTGAATGGCAACCACTTAGGGTTGTGCAGTGCCCAACCTGTGCAACCAGCCATATGCAACGGCCCTGCCTAGACTAGGGAAACAGCAGGGGGAACAGAGAGGAGAGAACAGATCCAAAACTCATTCTCTGAGCTGCATGTGTGTGTGTGTATGTGTTGGAGGGGGCAGATGAGGCCTTGGGGACATTGGTGTCACATCTCCTCAGACACATTTCTCCTCTGAGGCCAGAAGTGGAAGCATGACTCACTTGGAGGAAACCATCTCAAAGACTTCCTTCCAGAGCAACAGTGTCCCTTCCGGGATGGGGGACATCAGGAAGGGGCAGCATGAGGCCCCGACACCAGACCCTGGGGATGGAGAGGTTCAGGGAAGTAGGCTCGGCCCACAGGCCAGAAGGCACTGAGCCATCACTTAGCCCAGCCCCTCATTTTACAGACAGAAACACTGTGGCCCAGACGTGGGTTATGGGGGGCCCTCTGGAAAGGGTAAGAGTTTTTGGAGGCAAAACCGATCAGAATTCATGTGCTACCAGCTGTGTGATCTCAGGCAAATGGCGCTCTCTGAGCGTCATCTTCCTCCGCAGTAAAATGCAGTGACAATCATTACTCTTAATCGGCTAGTTGTTTGTTACTGTGGTAGGACCTCATTTCTTTTTTTTTTATTAATTTATTTACTTATTTGGCTGCACCGAGTCTTCGTTCTGGCACGCGGGATCTAGTTCCCTGACCAGAACTAGATGAAACCGGGGCCCCTGGCATTGAGAGCATGGAGGCTTAGCCGCTGGGCCACCAGGGACCTCATTTCCGTATTCCAGGCTGGGTTCTGCGGTCTCGGAAGGAGAGAAGGGACTCCTCCCCGGTTTAGGATCAGCGATGGGAGGGGTCACAGCGCCCCCCTGAGGCCTGCGTGCGGTGGTGCCGGGGGCCACTGCTCGCTTGGTGACCCTTTAGTGGCAGGGGGTGACGGAGAACGAGGCTGCCTCTGCGCCCACAGAACGCCCCTCTGCTGCCCCCTGCTGGGCATCTGCCCAGCTGCAAGGACAGTTGCTCCCGGGCCCTTACCTTGCCCACGATGATGGGTGATGACCATCGAATAAACCCCACTCTGGACACTCTGGACCACACAGCCCTTTCTTGCTAACACTCAAGAATTTGGAGGCTGACTGGGGGCTGGGAGAGGTTGGGGTTTTCTGATTCTCCCAGGCTCTCCTGCCAGATACCCCTGGACTGTGATGGGGGCAACGTGGCCCTCAACCCAGGGACAGAAAGAAGTTGGCATACTGTGGGGCACGGTAAAGTGGGGGAGAGCTGAAGTGAGAGGGGCCCTGGCCAAAGATGGATGGGGGAGGGAACTCAGAGGCCCCCTTTATCTGATAAGCTTTAAAAAGAACAGAGGAACCTGTGGGATTCTCAGGTAAGTCTAAACGACTAGAAATGTGGCTTACTGCCCGAGGCGCTGGGTTCAAACTCCAGCTGTCACTTTTAGCTGGGCGGCCTTAACCCCATCAGACCACAAAGGCAGGTCGAACCAGCCAAACTAAGCCTGTGTGCCCTGGACTTTGGGTCCCCAAACCCCCTCGGGGCTGGGCACGCAGCAGGTGCACAGGGACGCGGGCTACGAGCAGAGGCGTGCAAAGTGCCCCTCACGTCTCACCAATCACGTAGTCGCCGAAGCCCACGGTGCTGAGGGTGACGAAGGAGAAGTAGAAGCCCTCCACGTAGGTCCAGCCTTCCATGCGGTTGAAGAGCAGCGGGGGCAACAGCAGGAAAAGCAGGAGGCCCGACAGGAGGGCGCTGGAGCCCGCCAGCCACCGGGCCTTGGCCGGGTCCTGTGGGTGCACACGGTGTCCAGCCCCCATGAGGCTAGTTCTGCCCGGCGTGTGCGGCCGTGGGGCGGCCGTGGGGCGGTCGTGGGGGGTGGCGGGCAGACAGCCTGGGCGGTGCTGAGCTGCAGACGGGGCTGGCACTCCCCCGGGACCTGCCCTTGGGGCTTCTCTACCAGTGCGTGTTCTCCAGGCTCCTGAAAAGGCCTTGGCAGCCTTGTGCCTTTCCCATGTCTCCCCACTGATGCCCCTATGTTACTGAAGACACCCCCATTCTGGGCAGTGACCCCCCCAATCCCACTACACTCCCACCAGGAACCCTGATTTCCAAAAGACCCTCTGCTTCCACCAGTAACCCATCCCCTGGACCACCCCTTGACTGCCAGCATCCATCGTTTTCTCCCAGAGACTCTCCCTCCAGGCAGTGACAGCCTGTCCATTGGAGGCCCTGATCCCCACCACATCCTCCCCATCCTGGTGACCCGTCCTCCACCCTGCCCCCACGGACCGCTCACCTTCCAGGCGCCCCCCAGCCTGCGGGCGCAGCGGTGCACGCCCTGCAGCATGCAGTGCCCCAGGCGGTTGAGCACCACGAGGTTGAGCGGGATCCCCACGAGGGCAAAGAAGATGCAGAAGAGCCGCGCGGCCATCGTGCGGGGGCTCAGGTTGCCGTAGCCTGAGGCCAGAAAGGTGGACACGTCAGGGAGCCTTTCCATCCTCAGGGGCCCCGGTTCTACCATTGCTACGGATGGGACGTGGCAGCCAGTGTGCCCTTCCCGGGCACCGTGCAGGGCCCGACACACTCCCTCCCTCAGCCCAGCCTCAGCTTCCCTTCCCATGGAGGTCGTGCCCCAGACCTGCAGACTGGAAGACCAAAGCTCCAGGAGGGACGGTCTGCAGGCCTGCAGACTGGAAGACCAAAAACATGAGCATCCCGTTTGTCCTAGCTTCCCTTCCTCCCTCCCTGGGTGGGCAGAGGGACGCAGGAGGGGGACAGAAGGATGCAGAGCTGAAGTTTCAGCTTCAGCCGCTTCCTTCAGGACAGATCTGTTAGCCCCTCCGGCATCCCCTCACAGCGGGACATCCCCCACCCCGGGCAGCAGGGACCCGCCAGCTTCACTCGCCTCTGTATCTCCAGCACCTCTAACTATCTGGACCATACTAGGTCCTCAGTCTTGTTGCTGAATGAATGGATGGGTAGCTGGCTGAATAAGTGAGCAAGCTGGTCATGGGTTTTACAGATGATGAATACTTTTGGGACTCAGCCCTGTCCTTCTGGCCCAGAAGTGTCCGTGGGCCTGTCAGACCCTGTTTCATTCTAGGTCTTAGAAATCACAGCCCTCCTGGGGTGCTGGTCCCAGGGTCCCAGGGTGCCAGGGAGGGAGCTGTGCCTCTTAGAACCCCTTTATTCCCTCGTGGTGCGTTCATGTGTATTCCAGTTCAGTTCAGTTCAGTTCAGTCGCTCAGTTGTGTCCGACTCTTTGTGACCCCATGGACTGCAGCACGCCAGGCTTCCCTGTCTATCACCAACTCCTGGAGTTTACTCAAACTCATGCCTATTGAGTCGGTGATGCCATCCAACTAGCTCATCCTCTGTCGACCCCTTCTCCTCCTGCCTTCAATCTTTCCCAGCATCGGGGTCTTTCAAATGAGTCAGCTCTTTGTATCAGGTGGCCAAAGTATTGGAGTTTCAGCTTCAGCATCAGTCCTTCCAATGAATATTCAGGACTGATCTCCTTTAGGATGGACTGGTCAGACCCTTTTCCTCCTTTCTCTGCATTTCCTCCACCTGTGTTTGTATGTGTAAGTGTGTGTGTGTGTGTCAATGTGTGTGTATGTGTGTGTGTGTGGTCAATCAGAATCAGAAGCTTCCCTGTTGTCCACTCTAGAAGGGCTCTCTTTTTCCCTACTATTTAGAATTTCTACCCTAAAGGCAGGCACTATTGGAAGGAGCAAAGCTGGCCCCTAGATGGGTTTTGAATTCCCACTCTGGTGTTTACTAGCTACATGACTTTGCGGAAGTTGTGCAACCTCTCTGCCTCAGCTTCCTCATCTTTGACATAAGAAGCAGCAGCCTTATTCTTAGAGGTTGGACCATGTGGACAGAATGAGATCTCAAGTGTGAAAGGGCTCCTTACAGCGCCTGGTAGGTAGATCAGGCATGGAAGGGCAGGTGGGGACCCGTTCCTTGGCCCTCCTCACCCTCAGAGCTGGCCCAGACAGTTTTAGGGCTACACCAAGCGGAGAGAAGGGAGAGGGACCGAGTCCGCGTTGGGGATGGTAGAGCTGGGCGGAGAGGCTGCGAACCTCTGAATCAGGTGGGCCTGGGGCAAGGGGTGTAGTGGGAGTGGGGTTCAGAGGTGAGGGCGCCCTGTGTACCTGGGAGGCCTGGACCACAGTGATTGCATCAGCACCCCCTCCTGCTCTGGAGCTCAGGGAATGCTGGTGGAATGGGTATTTTGGAATTTATTAACGTGTCAGCATTTGTTGAGTGCCCACGGTATGCCAGGCTTATGCTAGACCCCTGGGGTGTAAGAATGAATGAACATCATCCTGACTTGTCCTTCCGGGCCCATGGAGTCAAGGGGCCTCCCAAGCATGGTTGCTTCAAGGTGGAGGACTACCCAAGCTCCCGGGTAGCCTGAGATCTGCTTCGAAGAAGTATTGTCTAATTTAAAGCCAGATAGAGAGTGCTCTGGGTGCATCTGCTTAGCTCCACTTTGGGGAGGAAGGGGTGGCAGGGGGTGGGGTGGGGTGGCGTGGCTGGGATCCTGGTTTCCTGCGGCCAGCGTCCTGCCTGGAGGAGGTAGCACCCCCACCAGTGGGGTCAGCCTGCCACCTGGTGGTGAATATGGTGTCATGCAGGCACCGGGGAGGGGCGGCCGGGCTGGTTGATGGGGCAGCCCCACCGAGTTATTTCCTGGGTGTGGAGTTGGAGGGATCTAGGCCACTCTTCTTCTCCGAACAACAGCCCCCAGACACCCTCCCAGGACAAGTTTCGCCTCTGCTCTCCTGAGGACAGGGCCTGGGGAACGGGAGTGAGAACTAGTCCCGGTGTCCCTGTGTGTGGGGGAGGAGAGGGGCTTGGGGAGGATGGTGATGGGGGTGAGGAGATGCCTCAGTGAGCTGGGGGGAGGCCTCTGGGAGTGGCCACATCTCCCAAGGCTGAGAACAGGGGATTCTGTCCCTCCTTCCTTCCCAAGTTCCCCTTATTCTCCTGCACCCCCTCCGCCGCCCTTCCAGGCTCAGTGTTAGGTGGGCTTGAGCAGACCAGGACCCTTACAGTGCCCAGAGGGGTCTTTGCCGCTATACAGGGGACCCTCTGCCTCCTGAAAGCTTGTCTGGCTGAAATCCCCAGAGCAGCACTTCAGAAACCTCCCAGGAACCCAGGTGGAGGGCAGGAGCCCATTCAGCACATCTTCCGTAAGACCAAGGTCCCGCTCCCAGGCGGTGTCCGGGCTGCTCGGCCTGAGTGTGCTTGAGGTCCTAGTAATGCCTCCAAAAGTAGCTGGCCCCTGGTCTCTCAGGCAAGGCCACCCTCCCCAGCACCCCTCCTTGGCCCCATCCTTCTCTTACCGATGGTGGTGATGGTGGACACGGAGAAGAAGAAGGAACCCACGAACTGCCAGCGTCCCATGCTGGTCGTGTTGCCGAGGACGATGTCCCCATTTCTGTATGCCTCGATGATGCCCTGGGGGAGAGGCTGTAGTAACCACCAGGCTCTCTGGGGCAATGGGGCCCCTGCACCCAAACACACACACACGCGCACGCACACACACAAACACACGACCGTCCTTCTAACCACTCTGATCTCAGCTCTTTGTGTCCAACCAGGGCTTCCCCCAGGGCAGGGAGCCTGGGGGCAGCTCCTTCCCCTCTCTACCCTGGAGCCCAGATCAGCCCAGGGTATCTCACTGGCTGGGAGAACTCCATTTGTTCTCTCTCCTGTTCACTCTCATTCTTGCAACAAGCCCTGGTCAGGGCCAGCATGTGAGGCATCAGGGGAGCTGAAGATGAAAGAGACATGACTTCAGTTTTCAGTGGGACAAAGCCAAACTTAACTCTGTTTCTTTTAATTTTTAAACTGTCTATCTATTTATTTTTGACCATGCCTATCGGCATGTGGGATCTTTGTTCCTTGATCAGGAATCATCCCCCTGAATTGGAAGTGCAGTCTTAAGCATTGGATTGCCAGGGAAGTCCCCAAACTCAACTTTGATACAGTGTCATCCATGAAGCTTTAGGCATGCAAACAGTGCAGCTACATGATTCTGGGCAAGATAGCCAACTTCTCTGTGCCTCAGTCTCTTTCTCTGTAAAATGGGAATACTAATAGCACCCACTTCATAGAGTTGTTGAGGTTTAATGAGTTATTAGGTGTAATGGCTTAGAAGAGTACCTGAAACACAGTTAAGGTTAGCAACTGCTATCATTATCATTATTATGAACATAATGCTATAGAAATACGGGATAGGAAGGGTGTGCATTCTGATGGGGGTGGGGGCAGAAGGCTTCACAGAGAGGGTGATTGGTTTTTTCTTAACATACCAAAGTACAAAATACAGTTTTATTATGTGTGTTTCCCCCCATAATTTTCTATTTTCTGAAATGTGCTTATTTTGCCTTCATATATACTTTAAAAAAAGGTGTATCATCAACTCTAGCACTCTGTACGGATGTGAGAAGGCAGCTGAGGGTGATGTTTTAGTTGGGCCTTTCTCGAGGTTTAGCTAGGATTGTTCCTGGTAGAAGAACATTTAGGTCAATAGGACCACAGGTGCAAACGCTGGAAGGGAGGACTGTGTCTGGGATACAGACTAGGGAGGCTGAAAGGTAGCTGGCAGCCAGGCTGTGCTTGGCTCTGCCAGGCTGGGGATGGGGTGGCAGGCCTCTGCCAAGGTCACTGACTAAAGCGGAAGCAAGCTCAGGTATGTATGCTCCATGGCAGCTGGCAGCACAGAAGATGCTGGCAGATCCGGAGAGGAGAGAGTCCTGCAGGGGTGAGTGATGGAGAGGGCCTGGCCTGCATCCTGGCACGGAGTGGTCCAGTGGGCACAGAGAGGAGGCACTCAGAAGCCCGGGGCTCTGGCCTTATTTGGTGTGGGTAGTGAGGGACGCATCTAAGAGCACTGTGAAGGTGTGTGGATACGGGGAAGAGCAGAGCTGCTTACTCTTGACCCCAGCGAATTTGAGGGCTGCTAGGAAGGTACAGAAGGAGAAGGGGATGGTAGAGGATGAGATGGTTGAATAGCATCACCAACTCCACGGACATGAACTTGGGTAAACTCTGGGAGATGGTGAGGGACAGGGAGGCCTGGCATGCTCCAGTCCACAGGCTCACAGAGTCAGACACGGCTTAGCAACTGAAGGACAACAACAGGAAGTTACGTGAGCATGTCTGCCCTCACTGGGGATGTCTGGGTTGGAGACCCCACATCTGTTTTCCTGGGGATGGCTGAAGCCACGGGGGGCTGTGGAAGGAGGTGAAGTGGAGGTGAGCAGGAGGTGGGTGGAGGGGAAGAGATGAGAGCTCCGCCAGGAAACTTGGGAAGCACTCCCATACACAGATCTGCACTGAGGCAGTCCTCATGGCGGTTGAGAGCCCCAGCGCACTGACTATGAAGCTGTGCCTTTGTATGTAATATCTCTGAGCCTCAGTTTCTCCATCTCTACAATGGGGATGATAATAATGGCGTCTACCTGTGAGGCAGGTGGGGCTGGAGCAAATTCACACACTAGGAACAGTGCCTGACACACAGTATTTCCTATCGTTCCCATTGTGATCACTGTCACTTTTTGGGGGCCGGGCTGCTCGTAATTGAAGTTCACCACCTTTCCAAGGGGAGTGCCACACAGCCTCCGGGACTAGGCGGTCTGTATTCGTAGAAGTTTAGAGAAAGTGGGTGGAGGTGTCACCTGAGATTCTTAGCAGAGATAGTCCTTCCTTTGTCCGGCACCAGGCCTGACACATCCGCCCAGTCCCAGGGCTCAGGACATTACCTCCGCTCCAACGCCCTTGTCCCCTGCCACCAGACACACTTCCTTGCTACCTTCTGGGGACCAGCTTTGGGCTGCCAACTCTGGGACACAGACCCTGCTTTCCTCGCTAGAGGAGGCACGGGAACTGCAGGGCGGGACGTCTGGCTAAGGGTGCAGCTGTCTGCGCCCGCGGACCAAGCCGGGGATCTGGAGATGGGAGCTTGCGGCGGATGGGAGCAGCTCTCCGCCCAGCCCAGGGTCGAAGGAGACCTTCATCCATCGTGAGGCCTGGAAGAACCCTGCCCTGCCCGCCCGCCTCCCCTCGCCCCGCTGGGTCTTCCCCCACCCACTCAGCAGTCTCTGCCCTCCACGACCTCTGCATCCTCCCACCCGCCGACCCCTGAAGACCCTCCGGGCCCTCTCCGAGTGCCCTCAGACTCGGAGAAACCCGGGTTCAGCCACCAAACGTCCCAGTACCTGCTGCTTTCTTTTTGCGAATCCCCGGGCTCCTGGCTCCTGCACCTCGGCCCCATTTCACTTAACGGGGCGGGGTGTGTGTGTGTGTGTGTGTGTGTGTGTGTGTGTGTGTGTGGCAGCGGGGACAAGAGCGCTCTGCACCCCCTTTCCTCTCAGCCTCCAACCATCTTGCTGCCGGTCTCACTCATCATCAGACCAGACCAGCGCCCTCTGCTGTCCCCGCCCCAAGGTCTCAAATTCGCCCCCAGGTCTTCTGTGGAAGGGGCCATGGGTGCCCCTTCGCCCTTCGCCCGCTGTCCGACGCGACACAGCGCCCTGAGTTCCCAGATGGACCCTTCCCGCCTTCTCCCAAGCGGAGCAGCGCGCTCTGTCCTAACGCTGCCCGGACCCGGTCGGGCCCCACCAGCCCTGGATCCCGTCAGCGCGCCCCCTATCGCCGTCACCCTGAGATTTGGATGCTTGCGCCACGCAGCTCTCCACACAGGGAGGGGAGGGTCCCCTCTCGCCCCGAACCTTGGGCTCAGGGCGCCGCGCTGCGCATTTCTCTTGCCCAAGACGGGCTCTTTGCATCGGGTCCATCCAGCCCAGGACTCTGGTCTCCACCCTGCAAGGCGCGCCCCCAGTCGTCCGCGCGTCCGTGCCTTCCACTTTATTTCGGAGAAGTGCTCCCGGCGGTGCCCGGACCGGAGCCGGGCCGTGCCCTTTCTCTCCCTGCCCGTGCGCTCCGCTGCGCCAGCGCCCCCGCGCTCGGGCCGCCCAGACTCGCCCCTCACCCGGATCAGCGAGTCCAGCGCCGGGCCATCCAGACACGTGAAGTTCCGCAGCAGCGCCCACTTCTCGTGCTGGAATTTCTTGCTGGAATCGTGCGCCGCGGGGCTCTCCAGCACCCAGAATACGCAGCTGCCCAGGACCAGGTAAGTCAGGTAGGTGAGCAGCAGGAGCAATGTGCTCGGCACCCGCCCCGCGCAGCCCCGGACCCCGCGCTCGCTCGCATCCCAGGCTCTCCGTCTGCACTTAGCCGGAGAGGCGGAGAGGCCCGAGTCGGGAGCCATGGACCCGGACCGAGGCGCAAAGGCAGGGCTCGGCTGGTCCCTTCTCTGGCCAACGCGCGCCTCTGCCCCGTTTTCTCAGCAGAGGAGGTGTGTGCTGGGGAATGGGACAGCCCTGCCCCACCCCGCACTGGGATCCAATCCCCGGGACAAAAAGAGGCCAAGCTGTGGGCATCTGGCCCCGCCTCGAACGCGTGTGGAGTGCCCACCCCCAGGCACGCCTAGCTCAGAGAGAAGGGGAGGACTGTTGGTGACCGCAGGCGCTGGGAGAGACCGGCCCAAGGGCCTCCCCGTGTCCTGTATGTAGCAAACAGTGGGAGGAACTACTGCAGACCGCACTCAGGGGGAAGAGAAAGTGGCAGGCAAGTTTATTTTCCTGGGGCCCTGGGATTATCACCAAGGACTCGCTGTCCATCAAGTCCTCTCTGGATCTCTCCCATCACCATCCTTGCCTTATATACCCAAGGATGAGAGATCCCAGCAATCTATCGCCACTTGCCCAGTGAACTTGGGAAGCAAGAGGAGTCTTGGCCTGTGGGCTTGTCCATTCCCTGCTTCTGAAGATGCCCCCCACCCCCACCTCATTCCCTCCTCCACCCAGGATGGAGGAAGGATTCAATATAAAGAGTCCTGGGGGTTCCCCTTTTCTCAGGCTTCTTCTCCATGCCAGGAAGTCCTGGGTGTAACCCGGGTGTCTTGCTGCTGTAGATCCTTCCCTGGGTGTCCCACCCAGAGCCTCCTCAGCTTCACGGTCTGACCTCAGTCCTGTCCAGAGGTCCCTGGTCTGTCTTGCTGAGAGAGGTTTGCAGTCCTTGGTGAGCTCGGGCCTTTTGATATGTGCGTGTGTGCTAAGTCACGTCAGTCGTGGCCAAATCTTTGCAACACTATGGACTGTATGTAGCCCGCCAGGCTCCGCTGTCCCTGGAATTCTCCAGGCAAGAATACTAGAGTGGGTTGCCATGCCCTCCTCCAGGGGATCTTCCTGATCCAGGGACTGAACCCATGTCTCTTAACATCTACCTGCATTGGCAGGTGGGTTCTTCACCACTAGTGCCCTCACCTGGGAAGCCCCGGCCTTGGGATGGACTGGTGTAAATCTGTCTTTTCCTTCTGGCCAGAGGTGTCACAGTCTGGCAGGGGAGAGGCCAGGCTGCATGAAGTATTCCCAGTGGAGGCTGGGCTTCCTCACAGCTCATTTCCTGGAAATCTCCTGGGATCAGCTAGCTGGTGTTTTCCCAGGGAGGGTTTGGAAGGGCTGGTAAGAGCCCAGAAGGGGTAATGAGATCAAAGGGTGCCCTGAGGCAGTCAAGGGAGGCCATTCTCTGGGAAAGTGGGTGGGACGCCCAGGAGTGTTGAAGCCTTGTTCATGGACAGCTCTAGACCTCTAGGCAAGGGGAACTGGCAGACTTAGAGGCAGCCTGCCCATCCCTCCAGCTAGGAGCTTCCTGAGGGCGGGCATCCTCTTTGCATGATGATGACTCCAGAGTCCCTGCCTGCGCCAGCGGGTCCCATGGGTTCACATCATACCCTGGTCTGCCCCTGCCATGAGGTTTTGGCCACTGGGTCAGAGTTGCCTCTCTGCTTGTCTAGTCCTTCCACTTGGCGGGCAGGAGCATCACCGTTGCTGCCCTGGAGCCTGGCCCAGCGCCTGACACACACTGGGGGCCTGATGACGCCCCCCACACGTGTCAGGTGTGGCAGATTCAGAGGTCCTTTGTGTGCCCTCCTGTATGAGATCTTCTGGGGTGGGGCGTGGGGTGCAGTTCAGGAAGCGCGATGGAGATTTGGTCATAATGATCCAGGTCTGGATTCAACTTTTTTGGGTCTTTTTTTTTTTTTTTTAAATTTTTTGGCTATGCTGCACGGCATGTGGGATCTTAGTTCCCCGACCAGGGATTGAACCCACGCCCCGTGCATTGGAAGGGTGGAGCCTTAATCGCTGGACCACCAGGGATGTCCCCTCAGGTCACTTTTGAGGGAGCGGCTCAGGGATCACAGCACACATCCGTCTCCCATTCTGTCTCCTTTCTGTCACTTTCTTGGGCCCTCCTGTCTCCTTTCTCTCTCTGGAGAGCTCCTGAGACCGGCTCTGGCTGGGAAGTGAGTGGGTTGGCCGAGGAGGAGGTGTGGCAGGAAATCCAGGGGGCCTATGGGGTGGACAAAGGATGCTGGGAGGGGCTTCTGTGGCCACGGTTTTGGGGGGGGGTCTCATGCAGAGATGGGAGTCTTCTGAGGTCTAGGGAGCCCATCGGTCTCGGGGGCTCCCCCTTCCTTGAGACCGAGGCCTCTGCCAAGCAGCCAGAGCTGGGAGCGCCGGTGCAGAAGCAGGGGGCCCAGGGGGAGGACCAGCGCCAGCCACGCCAGGCCCAGGAGGATCCAGATGGCCGCCAGGCTCCGGTACACCGAGAGGTAATGCTTGCTGGGATCCGTGCCTGGCAGGGAAGGGGGACACAATCGGTGCCAGGGTTCTGAGGGACAGCCACCCTCCAGGTTCCAAAAGGGTTCCCACCAGCCTTCCCCTAATAAGGATCAGCAGGCAAGACCCCTGGGGTGGGGGAAGGGTGATGGGTTCCCAGACCAGTGACTTCTGAGGCTGCTGTGAGAATTCGCAGCAGTGTCACGAAGTGTTTGTCTCCCTTGAATAACCAGGGGCTCTCTGGTCCTCAAGAATTACCTCCCTCCTCCCGCTGACATCTCCCCCTCCCCTGAATCCCGGTGGCCCCCAACCCTGTGATCTGTGTCTGCCCCTTTCTCACCGACGACATAGTCCCCGAAGCCGATGGTGCTGAGGGTGATGAAGGCGAAGTAGAAGCCCTCGCTGAAGCTCCAGCCCTCCACGTGGCTGAAGATCATGGGCGGCAAGATGAGAATGAGCAGCGTCCCCAGTGCCAAGAAGAGGGCCAGGCCCAGGGTCTGCAGCAGCTGGAAGCGGGGGAGCCTCTGAGTCCGCTCGGAAGGCCCGTGGTTATAAGCAGGGGAGGGGTTCTGGGGTGAGCTAGGAAGCCGGCTGGGCCATAGTCAGGTCCCTGTGGGGCGGGGGTTGTGTCTCTGTGTGTGTGAGATCTTATCCGGGCCAGGGAAAGAGCTGGTCAGCGGGATTGTGTCTGTGGGTCAAGTAGGAGATGCCTTTCGACTTGGTGTCCACGCGTGCAGGACCCCGAGGACTCAGATCTGGGATGGATGACGGTCACTGAGCTGTCCCCAATCCTTCTACACCTCTGCCTCTTTGCATAGCTTTGCAAGGGACCAGAGGACAGGGTGGGCCCTGGGCGTGCTCAGGGTGGTGTGGAGATGGCTATTGGAGTTCTCTGATGACCATGGAGGTGTGTGCCCAGACAGATCCCCCTTCGAAGAAGGCCTAGCCAAGCCGCCAGCAGGTGGCCTCCAGCCATCTCTCTTGCTCAGGGTGTATTTCAGTCTGGGCCAAGGGCACACCTTGCCATGCCCGATTGAGGCTGGGGCAGAGTCCAGGCCACGTCAGCGCCCACTGTGGGACAGCTTGTGCCACCGGAACCTGCCCAGCTCCTTGAGGGGTGGGCCGAGGCTTTGTCCAGCCTGCATCATAATTTCGCTCCTCCCTTCACCTGGTCCTTTTCTTCCATGGGTGTCGACCCCTAACACCCTGCTAGCCAAACTCTGTCTCCGTGTCAGCTTCTGGGGGACTTGACCTGCAACAGACTCTGTCCCAGTGGGGCTGTGGGGAGGGAGGACCTTACCTGGGAGCGTCTGGGCTGGTCCTCCCACCTCTCCAGCATGGTCAGGTGGGCACGCAGCCCTGTGCCCAGGTGGTTGAGGAAGACCACATTGAGAGGGATGCCCACCAGAGCATAGAAGACACAGAAGACCTGGCCTGCCTCTGTGCTGGGCGCCAGGTTCCCATATCCTGCAGGCAGGGGAGAGGGTGCAAATATGAGGAAGGGAGAGTTCGGAATGGCCCCCCTGACACTCTAGCAGAGGCTGGTTTTCCACCACCAGAGGGAGGAGAGGTGCAAGGCAGGGGGTTGGGGGAGGGTGGAGGGAAAGCTCCTCTGCTCCCATGAACACTCTTCTCAACCTCTTCTAGAATGATCTCAATCGTAAGTATCCTTCGAAGGCTCATCTCCAAAAACACCACCTCTTGGAAGCCCTCCTGATTGCCAGCCTCTTCCTCTTTACCAGGTGTGATTCCCCACAGTGCTTTGTGTTATTCCTATCTAGCTATCTAGTTTGCCCTGTGCTCCTATTTTTAGCGTGCTTATCTTATCCTTCATTATTGGATCAGAAGCTCCTTGAGAGCCAAGCTTGGGTCTGATCCAAGGTCATACTCTGCTATCTACACTCTATCCTTGGGTCTGATCCAAGATCATACTCTGCCACCTCCACTCTATCTGCTTTAATGTCACCTGAATTCAAGGACGGTGTGTGGAACCGAACTTAACTGAATGAATGGGGAGACCGGGCTGTGCGGGATGGAGGAGTTCCTTGTGGGAGGGGGATTGGGTTTTCTGGCCGAGGGAGTAGAGCAGATGCTGTTGGTGCTCTGTCCCCTGGGAACACCGGGACGGCAGCTGCAGCTGAGTGGACAGCTCTTGGGCACACAGGGGACTCCCCACCCTAAGTCCCTGCCTCTTTCTCCACCGGAGGGGTTCTTCCGGCCACAGGAGCATGTTTGGTCTGGGGGCAGGTCCAAAATGCTGGAGGATTCATACATCCGGACTCAGTTCTCAACCAGCCAGGACAGGAGTCGGTAGATAAATATGCCTGCTTCCTCCCCGGTTGGCTGGGCTCTCCTTGGTCTCAGAGGGTCCCCAGCACTGCTGGACCCAGTGGCCCTAACCAGTCCCCTGCTCATCACTGCAAACTCTGTTGCCCTATCTCCTCTTCCTGTTTCACTCTCCCACTTCTCCTGCTTCCCAGAATCGTCTCCGAGATAAACCACATCCTTGTCTCGGCCTTTGCTTTTGGGGAACTCAAACTTCAGCGGGGGTACTGGGGGTGGCCTTCTCCACCCCAGCACTTTACCTATGGTGGTGACGACTGTGCCTGCAAAGAAGAAACTGCTGCCGAAGTCCCAGTTGCTGGGGTTGGTCGAGTTGCCTTTGGGGTTCACGCCCTTCACCCAGGCTTCCATGATGACCTGTTGGGTTGGGGGAGCAGCAGGGGGTGGGAGGAAGAGGCTGCTGACAGCACTGGCTGGTGGCCAGCCTCCCCGCTGAGTACTCCCCTGTTGTCTCAGGGGAAGTTCTTAGTTACATTCCCATTTCATGGAAGAGGAAACTAAGGCTCAAAGTGGCTGACTTGCCCAAGGTCGCTGAATTCCAAGCTCACTTCCTGCTTCCCTGGCCAAGGGCTGAGTGTGATGTGGGCTTTAAGTGTGGCTAGTGGAGGGGAGATGGCCCCAGGGGGCAGATGGTGCTTATGGAGTGGTCCAGGTGGGAGATGTTGCCTAGAGCCAAGAGGGTGAGACCCCAGGGGTTGCCAGGACAACGAGAAGACTTCAGGTTGGATGTTCCTGGAAGGGTGTACTCGCGAACATGAAGTTTGGGACTGCAGGAAGGCCATAGGGCTGCCCTCTCTTGGGGCTGATGGTGGACAGAGGACCTCGAGTTCTCTGAGCTTCCAGGTGAGCTGGCAGGCTTGCTCTCTGCTGCCCCCTGGTGAGTCCCAGGTCTATAGGAGAAATTCCATCAGAGGCCAGGGCAAAGGTCTCCTATGTGTGTGTGTGTTGGTGGTGTATATGTGTGGTGTGTTGTATACATGTGGTGTGTGCATGGGTGCCGTATATGGCACATGTGTGCATGCTGTTTTTTATAGAACCTGAACCCTGCAGACTCAAGCCTAAGCCCCTCTGTCCCCCGCCAAGCCGTCCAGGAGGTGGGCAGGACACCCGTCCCCATCTTCTCCCAAACCCCTCCCCTGTAGCCGTGAATTGCCCCAGGACAGCTGTGCAGCCTGGCCACCTGGTAGAGACCCAAAGGCCGGAGGGAGGCAGCGGGAGCAGGGCGGGAGGGAAGCTCCAGCCTCCAGCGCCTGTGGGAACCGTTTCCCCGCTGGCCGGGTGAGCAAGCTCTGCCGGGGCTGGGGGTGACCCCTCTGAGGGCCAGGCCAGTCTGGATGTCGTGACCGGGGCTGTCTGCTTCTCCTCACTTTGGCAGAATTGGCCTCGTCTCATGTGAATCTTGGCCTCTTTCTCTTTCCCACACACCCAGAGAGGCCAGAACCGAACATTCCAGAACACTCCCGCTCCCCAGAGACCCTCGCCCATGGGAGCAGCACTGGTTCTAAGACCCGGCTGTCCCCTCGGCCAGCCTGGGGGTCTCCATCCTGCGGAGGCGGGGCCGCAATGCGGAGGGTGCTGGGGGCGGGGCTTCCAGTGCGGACGGACTGTCCATTCTTCTCCAAGAATCCTGGCGCCCAGGTGAGAAAGGCAGACTTGCACCCTGGGCAAGTTTCCTGATGGTGTCGGTCTTCAATACTGTTTTTATTACTGTTTAACTCCGCCCCCATTGTCATCTTAAAGTAGAGCAGGCCCTCGGTATCCAGGAGATTCCCACCAGCTAGGTTCTCATTCGCGGTCACGGAGAATATCCGCTGGGGTTCCTGGAAGCAATCCCGCGCTGACACCGAGAGATGACCATCAGGTGTGTTCTTTGGGAATCTTACCCTGGCATTCTTCTGCCTCTCAGTTGGACATCCCCTGGCAAGTGAGGGTCCCTCCCAAGGATGCTGAGGATCCCCGGGGAGGTCTGGGGGCCTTTCATCAGTGGCACCTCCCTCAGAATTGCAGTCAAGCCTGTGCCTTTAATTACATACCAGCTACCAGTCCTTTGCCTGTTCCCTCCGCAGCTCCGGGAATTGCTTCCAACCAGGAGCTGAGGGTCGGGGGGTTCCAGGGCCTCTGCCTTACTCCCCATCCTGAGCCCTTCTCAGCCCTGATTGGGGTGCTGTGGTCCCAGCCCTGTGCTGCTGGAGAGCAAGGAAGTGAAACCTGAGGCTGGAGGCCCCATTTCCTGGGAGAAAGGGCCTCTCACGGCTCTGGAAAGTTCTCTGACCAGCCAGACCACCTTCCATCTCCTAGGCCTGCTATTCCCCAATCTTGGGGGTCCATCAGTGTGGCCTGAGGACTTGTTAACACACAGTCTGTTGACCCAGTTTCCCCCTGGAGTTCCTGACTCAGGAGGTCTGGGGTGGAACCTGAGGGATGGCCTTTGTAAGGAGCGCCCACGTGGGGCTGATGCTGTTAGGCCAGGGCCCAGACTTTATGAGCTGCCCTCTGCACTTAGGTTAACCTGTGTGGCAAGCAGCAGCTGGCTTGGGTTCGAGTTCTGCCTCTTCCATTAACTACGCAACTCTGGGCAACATACTTCTCCTCTCTGTTGCCCAGTCCCTACCTGCACATCTGAGACAGTGGTGGCAATATGTAATTATGAGGAAACACATAGAAAGCACTGGGCCCGGGGGGATGGACCAGGACTGGTCGGACCCCATCGTGATGGCGCTGCTCCCTGCTATTTGGGGCACATTATAAACACTCGGTACAGACCAGTCATTGTGATGAATCTGCACTTGGCTTGCTCCTTTGCAGTGGGTATTGTCCCCCACTGGACCTCTTGGTCTCACCCTCTCCCACAACACCCTGGTTTTGGCTGGTTTCTGGGGGAGAGGGGACTGGGGCCCCAGAGTTTCTACAGAAGGGACTCAAGCAGGTCTGACCCAGTCTGTCACCAGAGACGCCCTGTGGGCCCCAGAGGGGTGGGGCTCAGTCACCCTGGTGGTTGCTCATCAAGGCCAGGTCCATGGCCGCTGGCGTGGTGGCTGCTCCTGACCTTTATCTGCGTCTCCCACCCGCAGTGTGGTCAGCACCCCGGGGAGGGGAGAGGTGAGCTAGCGGGAGAGCAGAGGAAGAAGCTGCCCGGAGCTGGGGAAGGGGAAGCTCTGGAGCGTGGGGGCAGAAGTGTGTACAGTGCTGATAGCCCTGACACACGGTTCACGTTTATGCAGCAAGTGGCCGCCTAGAAAGAGCTTTTAATCAGCTCTCAAACATCTCCTCACCTAGAAGGGGACCAGAGAGGTTAAGTGACTTGCCCAGTGTCTCACAGCAATCCAGTTATAGACCCCAGAGGCCAGAATCTGAACCTAGGTCTCCCCTGGCCCTCTGTTCCCATCACGCTCGGCTTCCAAATGGGGCCTCAGCCATCAGTGATGGCTCTGGACCTGCGGTGAGACCTGCATTCTGCATCCCCCCCCCCCCGCCCCCACCCCTGGCCCACATCAGCCTCTCCCCTTCACCTGCACAAACTGCTCCACAGCCTGCTGGTCCAGGCAGGTGTAGTTCTCCAGGAAGCGCAGCTTCTCAAACTGAAACCGGTCCCTGGACTGAGACTCTGCCTGCTTCTCCAGCAGCTGGAAGATGGTGGCGCCGAGCAGCAGGTAGCAGATGTAGGCCAGGAGCAGGGGCAGCACCCGGCCGCCCCAGCGGCTGCAGAGCCTGGCGCGGGGCATGGCGGGCCCAGGACTGTGCCAGGGCCGTGGGGCTGGCTGTGGAAACAGAGGCGGGAAGCGCCTGGGGACCTGCGTCCAGCCTCCTGCCTGCCTCACCCTCCCTGGCAGCACAGGTGTTGGGAGGCTGGGGAGTCTGTTTGAACAGTGCAGCTCAGCTTGGCTGCACTAAGTGCCCTGAGTGCAAACAGGCCTGCCACCCCCCGCCCGGGCTTTTCTTTTTCCCCATGGAGAGCAGCAGGTCAGTGGCGGGGACCCCTCAAAGAGCCCCAGCGGTCCTCCCGAGGCCTTCATGTCTCACTTTCTGCCTCCAAGTTGGATGGGTGTTTGGGGGCCAAATTGGATGCTCCCCTTCACTCTGCCCCGGGCCCCTTAGCAGCTCCCAGCTTCTCACCCATGACGTCTTCCGAGCCCCAGGCTTAGGAGCGGGGAAGAAATCAGAACAGGTGTGCTTAGAACTTGCACTTAGTTGCCTTGGCTACGAAGTGGGGCTGGAAGGGTGGACCCGCCTCTTGGGGGAACCCGAGGATGAGGGACATGGGTGACAAATCAGGAGAAAGCAAACGGACAAATGACAGTCTGGCTCAGGAAAAGTGTGAGGGTTGATGTTCTTAATAAACTGGAAGCATTTGCTTTAGAGTTTTTGCTGAAAACCCTCCTCACTTGAAACCCTTAGCAGGTTCCCTTGGGAGGCCATGTCAGTGAGATGTATGTGTGAGTAAAAAGAAACTAAAAAAAGTACCTCCCAGCCCGGAGGCATTAGCAGTGGTTCACTCTGGGTGGGTGGAATCGAGGATGTTTTCCTCTCTGTCTGCATGTGTGTGTGTATTTATAGCAGCTTTTTTTTTTTTTTAAATAACTCACATGCTACCATTCACACACTTAAAGTATATGATTGAATGGTTTCTCTGTTCAAGTATATTCAGAGGCCTGCAACTATCCCAAGATCAATTTTAGAATATTTTTAAAACCTCAGAGCAGAACCTTGTACCTTTTAGCTGTCACCCCCATCCATCCAGTCTGCCACCTTAGCCTCTGGCAACCTTTAACTTGCTGTCTCAGGATTTCCCTAATCTGGACATGTTTAAAAATTTTTAAAAAATGAAGTATAGTTGATTAACACCATTGTACCAATGTCTGTTGTAGAGCAAAGTGACTCAGTTACACACATATATACATTAAAACAAATTCTTTTCCTTTATAATCACAGGATATTGAATATATCAGTAGTTCACTGTGCTATACAATAGGACCTTGTTAGACAGCATTTCATTTAAATGCAGTCATACAATATGTGGACTTTTGTGTCTGGCTTCTTCAATTAGCATTATGTTTTTAAGGTTTATCCAAAATTTATCAAGTGTTAGCAGTCCATTCTTTATGGCTGAATAGTATTTCATTCCATGGATATGTACCAACATTTTATGTATATTTATATACTCGTTTATCAGTTGATAGATATTTGGCTATTATGAATAATACTGCTAGGAGTGTTCATGTATGAGTCTCTTTTAGTGGGATTATAACTCTCATTTCTCCCCTATAGTGTACTTAGGAGTAGAATTGCTGGGTCACATGATCACTCTATGCTTAATTATTTGAGGAACCACCAGACTGTCTTCCAAAGTAGCTGTGCCATTTTACATCCCTACCAGCAGTGTGTGAGGGTTGTCAGTAATCTGCTTGTGTTCTCTGGCGTTTCCTGTAACGAGCTGCGCCCGCAGACACGTGTTACCACGCTGATAGCTTTTCCCGCCTTCTTGGCAAACAGAACCCCACATTTGTACATGTCAGCCCCAGGCAGTGGAGCCTGGCTGATCTCACCCATCATGATAATCCTGCTCCTCACTGTCTCAGGAATAGCCCTGCAAGGGGGCTTTGTGTGTGGGCAGTGAAGTAAGTGAAGACCCATGGGGGTTAAACAGAGCACCGTTGCCCAGTTCTCCCCTGGTTTCCGGGGAGCCCTGATGGGTGAAGTGCATCCAGTTAGCCCCCTGGAGGCAGGGAGGCCAGGCTATCATCTTCTCAGCCCAGGCAGTCATTCTGGCATTTCTAGCTCTGCATCTGTAGGCAAAATGCTCCAGGAGCCTGTGGACAGTCCACTGAGGAGCCCCAGGCGTGGCCAGGCCATTGAAAGCAAACACATGTGAAAGCGGAGGAGAGGGGCCCAGAGAGGGGGAGGGGGTCAGGGGATCGCAGATGCTGGCCCCTGCTCAGCTACCCCGTGTCCTTGTGGGAAAGGTCAAGAGCATCGAAAAGACGCTCAGCTGATTCCTGCATAGGCCTACCTCTAGATTTAAACAGGTTTGAAACCTAAGCCCGATTTGTTTAAGCCACAGTTAGGGATTGTTACTTCTCAATGGTTAGATAAGTTCAAGGTTCAGTCGGGGCCCTGTCTGGGGGTGGCAGGTGCCTTCCTTGCAGTCCTGCTGGCTCTGGGTCCCTGAGACCACCTGGGGGTCCACAGCCGTCTCCTGTAAGGCCCTCCTCACACCGAGAGCTTTCACCGACAGCACCATGCTGGGAGGCCGGCTGGTCCCGGGGCAGAAGCAAGCATCTCGGTCACACATCTCACCCTTGGTCCTGGCTCTAAGCTAGGGTTATGCTTACACACCTGCCAGGCGTGTGATAATCAAATCCCGTTTTATTGCCCGGGAGAAGCTCAGTATGTGAAGAGTTCTCCTTTACCATTTGGAAAGCTCACCTGTTGCTGTCTGGGGACTCGGGCGGGTCTTAGCAACCTTTTCTGTGTGAATATCCTTGCTGAGTCTGGGCGTGGTCTGCAGGTGGTAGTGGTGGTTCTTAAGTGGAAGGAAAGGAAGGGGGAGACGGGCGAGCACGATGGGGAGGGCCATCAGTGGCAGGTGGACAGGGCTCCCTCAGGGCCTGGACAGGAAGGATGCCAGGCTCACTGTGGGCCAAGATCCCACTCCTTTGGGAGGTCTCACCCACCACTGTTGAGGGCCTCATCTCATTTCTCCCTGATGCTGCTGTTTCCTCTCACAGAGCATTGTGTATTTGTTGCTCAGTCATGTCCAACTCTTTGTGACCCCCTGACGCACCAGGCTCCTCTGTCTGTGGAATTCTCCAGGCAAGAATACTGGAGTGGGTAGCCGTTCCCTTCTCCAGGGGATCTTCCCCACACAGGGATTGAACCCCAGTCTCCTGTGACTCCTGCATTGCAGGCGGCTTCTTTACAGTCAGCCACCAGGGCTTCCCTGACAGGGCATAGCCTGGCTGGAGTTTAAGACAGTCTTTCCCAGGAGCTTTTCTGGCTTAAGGGGCCACAGAGCTAAAGATGGAGCCTTCCTGGTGGATTTCAGGGGCTCAGCTCGATGGGTCCCCAAAGCACTCTGCACTCCAGGGCAAGTGCCTGTCCACCCCCGCTTCCCTCGTTCAGTATGCGAGCTGGGTGCCCTCTGTGTGTTGGCACCTGCCTTGGCTGCTCCTCTGCCTGGCTGTGGCCCGGCCCGGCCAGGTTTAGGAGGGAAACTTCAGGCCTGCGGGGACCTCCCCTGCTCATCCGACATGGTCCCTGCCTGCAGGACACCTCCCCACGTGGGCGCCACTCCGCTGGGAGCGATGGACGGACACGGGGCATGATTTATAATCTCTTTCAGGGAATTATTGCTGCTAATGGGCAGCCCCAATTTGCGCTTCCTCAAGGTGGGAGGGCAAAATCAATTAATGGAGAGTCTAACGTGGCCAGGCCTGCTGGCAGAGTGTGGCCTGACATCCGGCAGTGATAAGGGACCTTTTGAGGCTGAACTAATAAGGAGATTGGAGGGAAAAAGAAGAAAAACAACCCTCCCCCCACCCCTGATCAATCTCATGTACAGTGGGCAGAGGATGCAGAGCAAACAGCAGCTGGACGCGGGCCTCTTTCCGTCTGAATGAGCCGGGGGCGGAGGGCGGGCCAGCTCGCCCAGCCGCCGTCCAACATCGGTATTCGCTCACCGCCTGGCTCGTGGCTCGATAGGCGCCTATCTGCACAAATGAGAAAGGCGCGTTCAGGGCCAGAGATCAGGGGAGGGGCTGAGGCCCGCCTGGCCCAGGTGCGCCCCCTGCAGGGGAGCGGGCAGGTGGCGGGCTCCGGGCTCAGATCCTGCCGCCCTAATGGTGCCCACCTACACGGTGGCTCATGGGGCCAGAGCCACAAGCCCGGTGTGTGGTTGGTTGTCTGGGCTCCTGGCGGTGTCCCCACCGTGAAGGGTGTGGGAGAGCCTCCCGTGTGGGAGGCAGGGCCTGTGGGTGTGAGTGCCCTGCTAGCGAGAGAGTCGGGGGGGGGGGTGTCCCGCTGGGCCTGTGGCCCCCGGGGGGTGGGCAAAGCCAAGTGGCAGGAGGCTAAAGATGGACAATCAGACAAGCACACCTGTTATTGATCTCCTTCAGAAGATTCCATTGTTTACTGGGGCAGCCGGATTCCTTTCTCATGAGAGATCATTCCCTGAGCCCCGGTGTGTAGTGAGGTTGAGGGGGGGGGCTCTAGTTGAAGTTGGGGGGACTCCCATTCTCATCAGCCCAGACAGCTTGATGCAAGAGCCCCCCCGCCGTGACTCTGCAATAGATGCCTTTGCCTGAGTTGGATTGACCTTGGAGCAGACTCTGAGACCTGATGTGGGTATGCGCGATTTATCTGGGAAGTGATCCCAGGAAGGGATTCCAAGAAATAGGGGGAGGGGGCAGGGGAGGAAAGTGGGCAGCCCCACACGTGTCATGGAGCAGGTGCTCGCTGTGGGCACCCAGGGGGTCCACCTGTGCGGGCCCTGGGGGACACCACCTGTGTACAGCTCACTCAGGGTTGTCCCACGGGGCGGAAGGAGGCTGGGCTGTTTATCTCTCAACTCCTGCCCCTACCACTTGAGGGCTGACAGGGGAGGTTACCGCCTGCACTGCCCGCCTGCCCTGCACATGGGCGACTAGCGGGCTCACCTCACTCATTTCTCTTCTTTTGGGGTTCCAGGTCTTGTACTGCCTTTGGTCGCATGTCGGGAAACTCTTGTTTTATGGGTTTTGTCTAGTTTTCAGTTGCTTGGTGCAGGAGGCTGCATCAGTCTCTGGTGCTCTATCGTAGCCGAAAGTGCCAGCTCCATGCAACCTACCCTCAAGTGCCTGCTTCCCTCCTAGCTCAGTCGGTAAAGAATCTGCCTGCAATGCCGGAGACATGGGTTCGATTCCTGGGTCGGGAAGTTCCCCTGGAGAAGGAAATGGCAACCCACTCCAGTATTCTTGCCTGGAGAATCCCATGGACAGAGGAGCCTGGTGGGCTACAGTCCCTGGGGTTGCAGGACTGAGTGCCTTTCCCTACTACTAGTGTTTTATTTCTTGGTTGTGCTGGGCCTTCGCCGCTTTCTCCAGCTGCAGCGAGTGGGGGCCACTCTTCCTCACGGTGCCCGAGCTTCTCCTGTGGCAGAGCACAGGCTCTAGGCATGGGCGTTGGCAGTTGTGGGGCGCGGACTTAGTTGCTCTGTGGCATGTGGGACTTTCCCGGAGCGGGGATGGAACCCGTGGCGGCTGTGTCTTATCTTAACCACTGGACCGGCACGGAAACCCTCAAGTGCCTCTCGATAGGCGGCACAGAAGGAAGGAAATGAACCCTGAGAAACTCTGGGTCTGTTCACAACGATCTCTGGGTTGCACTTTCAGTGGCTTTTGCTACAGTTAATGCTTGGTAGCAAGTCCCGCCCCCGCAAGTCGTAGTGGTCAATGACAGCCAGCATTTATTCTCAGGAGAATGGCTCCTCGGGTCAGCCGAGGCTCAGCAGACCTGGGGATCCAGGCTCCAGTGCTGCGGGGCTCGACTTCAGGCTGTGGCCTGGGCTCGGGTCTGCTCGCTGCGTGTTCTGGGGTGTGGGCTCGAGGGCCTAGCACCTGCCCGGGACATGTTCTCACCAGGCAGAGACCACCAGCCTGGCAAGAGGCGGGCCCAGCCAGGTCGGCACACTTCACGCCTCTGCTTGTACCATAGGTGCCAATGTCCCCACTAACCAAAGCAAGTTGCAGGGCCGAGTCCATATTGAAGGGGGAGGGAGGCATACTCTGCCCTGATGAGGCCATGGCCAAAGCTCTGTTACATAGGGGGTGAAGAATTCAGGCAGATTATTCAGTCTACCACAACTTCTCTTTCTGCTTTCTAAAAACCACCCCCCTTTCCAAGGTCCCAGAAAGCCACATTCTAAGCCTCCCTCCTCCTAACACTTGCTGCCACTGGCAGAGCCAGTTCGGTCCTAGTAGGACCCGGCTGGGAAGTCACTGGCCAGGCTGCTTTCCGGAAGATGTTTTGGAAAAATGCCACATTTTGGCCTGGAGTGAACTCAGACACCCGGGACCTCCTCACGGCTCTCTGGAACCCGGTGCAGGGGGCGGGAAGGGGGAACTGCTGGAGGGTCTTTCCAGAACATTTCCTCCACTCCTCCCACTTGCAGGGCCCACAGGGCTGAGGGGCAGTTACACCAGGGGAGCGGCCGTCCACGTCAGAGGCCAGCCTCTGTGGGGAGGGGGCGACTTCGGGGGCTGGCTGTGTTCTTCTCGTCTTTTCCTCTCCGGCCTCAGCGAGACTGTTCTAGGAGGCGGGTTTGCACTCTGCGTGGGGCCACGTCACACATCCCTGTCAATGAGGCCCTTGGGTCGGGGAGGTAACTTCTGGGCAGGAGCGCTATGGTTCGCAGACGAACCAGCTCCAGAGGGCTGGGTGCCAAGGTGTGCCGGGTACTCTGAGTCTGTTTCTGAGGGAGCCTGGCCCACTCCCTGCCATCCTCGGGGCTCTTGAGAGAGAGAGAGAGAGAGAAAGAGCATGTATGTGCCCTGCGGACTCCTGGGGAGGCTTCTAGAATCAGGCTGTGAGGGCCATTTGCGCCCCCCTCACTGGTTCTGTGGACTTTCCCAAGGATTTGCCAGATGCCACATGGGGGCCAGGATGCCCAGTGGGCCCGGGGGCCCAAGAAGCAGGAGAGTGGCTCCGACTCTGCCACTTGTGAACCAAGGACATGGTACCGGGGACATAGAGCAGGACAGGCAATCCCTTATTGTCGTGGAGCTTTTAGTCTTGGTGGTGGTGGACTCTGAAGACCATTAGGGAAGAAGCAAATAGGGGATTCTCTGGCAGTTCAGTGGTTAGGACGGCTTGCTCTCAATGCCGAGGACCTGGGTTCAAACCCTGGGTGGGGAACTAAGATCCCACAAGACGTGCACCATGGCCAATAAAGGGGAAAAAAAAGGAAAGCAAATAAAGATCTGAGATCTGTCAGGTAGTGATGAAAAGATAATAGAGTGACGGGATAGAGGGTGACCAGGGTCGGGGTGTCCCTCTAGTTGGGGTGATCAGGGAAAGTCATCTGAGAAGGGGACCTCTGCTGCTAACTGGCTGTATAATCAACAACCAGGACCTCCCTTTCACTTAATTTTTCTTTCTTTTTAAAAAATAATTTTCTTCGTTTATTTTTGGCCGTGCTGGGTCTTTGATGCTGCACGGACTTTCTCTAGTTGCGGTGCTGGGCTTCTCTTCTCTGGTCCCTCTTGTTGTGGGACACACGGGGCTTCAGTAGTTATGGCTCTGGGCTCTAGAGCGCAGGCTCAAGAGCTGTGGCTCACGGGCTTAGCGGCTCCTCGGCATGTGGGATCTTCCTGGACCAGGGATGGATGGAACCTGTGTTCCTGCGTTGGCAGGTGGATTCTTTACCACTGAGCCACCAGGGAAGCCCACCCCTGCCCCCGCTTCAGTTTTCTAAAGTTATCAACAAGGGTGTGGGTCAGAGGAGCTCTGTCTAGCTTTGAAATGTAATCACCTAGCTTCTCTTGCATGATCCTGTTACCCAGACCTGAAAGGGTCGGGAGGGTGGCTGGGGAAACTGACTATGCTGTACTCTCTCTCTGCTCCCTCCCTAGGGCGACTCATGGGCCAGAGGAGACAGGGCAGTGGACAAGCGCTTTTATTTGGTTAGCTGCACTTCCAGGGTCCCTCCCCTTCCCCCTGCCCACCTCCCTGCAGCTGTCTTGGACTTACTGCCAGCATCCTGAGGTGGGTGGCAGTCCCCCCAAGGGCCTCTAGGGGCGACCCACCCTCCGCTGGCCCTGGGCCGGGAGTGCTGAGAGAGCTCCCTGAGATGCGGTCCTCTGTGGGAGTGGGGAGAACTGACCCAAACCCTGCCCAGCCCTGAGGCACGGGGTGAAGGGGAGGCCCAAGGCGCCCACACTGCTCCTCTCGGTTCTCAGCGGAGCTCCCGGGAGCCGTCCACTGCCCTCCGGGTGCAGCCGCAGGGGTGGCTCCCTGGAGACGCAGCTGATTCAGGTGTCACCCGTGGGTCATCTGGACCATAAGAGTGATGCTGCGGAGTCTGGCCTGGGAGGGCAGGGCTGACCACCCAGATGCCGTGTTGCTGTCCACTGCCTTGTCTTTGGTCTGACCTGCTGTGTGGATGCCCCAGCCATTCCTGGGCGTCTCAACAAGGGGCTGGGGCAGGGGAGTGGCGGGAAAATATTGGGTTGGCTGAAAGTTCATTTGGAATTTTCCTGTAAGATGTTACAGAAAAACCCATACAAATTTTTTGGCCAACTCCATAGCTAAAGATAACCCATTATCATTTCCGCCTCCTTCTACCAGTGTGAGCTTCCCTGCCACTGCGCTAGGATGGTACTGTTTTAGGATCTCAAAGGCTTGTAGTCGTCTATGTGTAGATCACAGCAAGGGTGAGCTAAAGCCCTCATTCCACCCCTAGAACCCGGCACTGCCTGGCTGCCCACGGCTCCAGCACCCACAGCAAGGACAGCACCGTAAGCCTGGCCCCAGCCCCACTGGCAGCATCCAGGGCTCCATCCTTAAGAAACACAACCCCCCGACTGGGATCCAGGTCACCAATTGCTTCCAGCAGGACACAGATCCCTGCTGGAGCCGAGACCTTCGTCTGGAGTCCGTTCTTGCTGCCGCAATGCACCGCCGGTGCTTACTGGAAACCTGAAAGGAGATGAGTGTTCTCGGTTAGCCCCTGCTTGGGTCACGGACCTCTCGGATGGAAGGGCGAGGGGAGCAGGTGGGTGTCAGGTGGGGCACCGCTCAGGGCCTTACTCCCAGGGGGCTGTGTCTACTCCCCAAACACTGTAGGAAATGCCTGCCTACTTTGCTCTTTGCAAAAGTTTCATCACCCCGAGCCAGGACCACACTCATTTTCCAACTCCACGGTTTTTGCTGACATAGCTGTTTCATTCTTACAGATTCGATCCTTGCTTTTTGCCCCAGCTATTCATTATATTCCTTGATGTTTCCTCCTGACCATGTGGCCCCATGCTGTATCTTCCCATGGTGGGACATGAAGAAAGGGTTCTCTGGCCTAAGAAGCAAGACCCCTGGGTTCTAGCCAGGATGGTCCCCAACCCATGGTGTGACCTTGGGTAAAACATGTGTGTTCTCTGGGCCTCACTTTTCTCACTTCCAAATCACTGGAGTAGACCAGGTACCTGGGAAAAGCCAAGTAGCTAGTGTGGTTCCTTGCTTTGCAAGGTGGGGTCCATCGACCAGTGGCACGGGCATCTCCAGGAGCTTGTTCAGAGATGTAGACTCTTGGGCCCCACTCAGACTTACTGGACCCAGAAAAGTATGAGAACTAATATGGGGGACGTGCAGTTAATTTGCTTAAAGTTTGGCTACCATAATAAGAATTTCTGAAGGTTCTCGGGTAAAGAACACGGTATTTTTTAAAAAACTGCATTGAACAGAGAGACGGAGGGGCGAGGCGGCTGCAGCATCCAGGTGTGGACGTGGGTACCTCGCAGCGGGGGGTGTGGGTGTGGCCGGCATGCTCTTCTGGAGGGGGAGTCAGTGATTCTCTGAGATGCAGAGAATGTGGGAAGTAATGGGGAGGAAGAGGTTGAAAACGATTCAAGGCTATGAACCCTGGATCCCCAGATTTAGTTCTGTGGGCAAGATCTAGTTCCGTGGACTTCACTGTCTAATTCAATGGAGATGGTCCTTGTTTTTTTAAATTTAAAACTTTATTTTATTTTTGGCCGCGCTGGGTCTTCACTGCTCTGTGTGGGCTTTCTCTAGTTGTGCTGAGTGGGGGCTGCTCTGTATTTGTGGGGTGTGGGCTTCTCATTACGATGGCTCCTCTTGTTGTGGAGCACGGGCTCTGGAGCGTGGGCTTCAGTAGTTGTGGCCCCGAGGGCTTCGCTGCTCCACGGCATGTGGGATCTTCCCGGACCAGGGATAGAACCTGTGTCCCCTGCACAGGCATATGGATTTGTAGCCACTGAACCACCAGGGAAATCCTGAGATATCCTTATTTATTTTAAAAAAATTATTTATTTTTTGGCTGCACTGGGTCTTCATTGCTTCTCAGACTTTTCTGTGGGGGCTACTCTCTAGTTGCAGTGCGTGGGCCTCTCACTGTGGGGGCTTCTCTCGTGGCAGAGCATGGGCTCTAGGGCGCGTGGGCTCAGTAGACAGTGCTCCCGGGCTCTGGAGCACAGGTTCCATAGTTGGAACGGGCTTAGCTGCTCTGTGGCATGTGGGATTATCCTGGATCAGGGAATGAACCCACATCTCCTACATTGGCAGGCAGATTCTTCACCACCGAGCCACCAGGGAAGCCCAGTCCTTATTTTTAAGACATTCCTGGCTGTCCTAATTGACTCTTAGACCAGGAAGGGAGAAAGTCAGACACACCAGAGCGTGGGAAGGTGATGTGTTCTAGTCACTCTGGACCCAAGGTTCCCAGCAGGTGCTGGGTGGCAGGTTGGAACCCAGGCTGCAGGTGCAGGTTGGAAACGTCTAGGGCGCCCTTAGGAATCCTCATACCCAGGCCACTCTCAGGACGGATTAAATCAGAATCTCTGGGCCCTGGCTGTTCTGAAGAATGTCCAGGATCAAACCCATTGCTCTCATCTCTCTGTTCCAAGGGTTGGCAAGGGCAGGTACTGGGGACCGTGATGCATGTGGCTGTGGACCAAGTCACAGGTCTGAGGCTTCTTCTGCACCACTGACAAGCATCCTGGGCCAGGATTCCTGGTGAGGTGCACAGAGTCGGAGCCAGCTCCCCCCTAGGGCTTTCACGGCTTCCTCCCTAGACACTTACCTGCGGTGAGGACTGGAGGTGAGGGTGGGGCTGAGAAAGGGCCCAGGATGGGCTCAGAGTGCATGATATTCAGAGACACAGCTCCTCGCACAGATCAACCTCCACTCACAACAAATGTGCTTGTTCCCGTTCATTCTCTACGAACCTCATTTAAGTAATGGAGCTGCCGGTTGATGCCGGGCTTTTGGTGACTGCGGATTCCCAGGGTGGAGGGCACTGCTACACCATTGAAACCACCACCGCACCTCACCGCGTTGGATCAGGTCTCCACACACAGGCCAGTTTCCCTGCTGACGGCTCCCTGGCGCTCAGCAGGTTACGAGGGAACTTTGTGGACCGTGTCTCAGGAGAGCTGCCCACCGGGACAAAGGTGGAATCTGAGCCTGACAGGGGTGACGGGGAGGTTGGAGGAGGTGAGCGGCCCAGGGTCGCCAGGGCCGAGATGGACAGCCCTTACGTCCCGGTCTCTTCCTTCCCAGATCTGTGCTGTTTCCGTTTCTCTGGGAGGGCTCCTGATGGAAGGAGAGAGCCAGGGGCTTCTCAGAGCGGTGGTGCTGGGGCTGGGGGTGCAGGAGGGCTTTGGGGGTGCTCCTTCTGGCTGGAGAAGAGGGCGTTGTGGTCACAGGGGGTCACAGCAAACATCAAGTTTCCAGACAGATATTCTTCCAAACTCAGGGATTAAGGAGGGATCTAGAAAGGGGTTAATCTCATTTTCTCCACCCTTGGTAGCTAGAAACAGCAGCTTTGACACTGTGGATGACTAATGCCCCTTCCGGGTGAGATATACCTGTCCATGTGTGCCCCTGGCAGGGACTGAAACGCTCCACAGCTTCCCCAAGAATCCTAAATCAAACAGATTCATCCTGGCCCTTGGTGAAGCCTAAGAGCCGGCTAAATCACCCTTTCCGGGCTCTTGTTCCTTGGCTGACGGTCACAAATCCCCCATAATGAGCACTTGTGAAGGAGCCCCGCCAGACAGCACCACTGAATTAAGAGCAGAGGGGCCCAGGGCAGGGACGGGCAGTGTTTGCTTTGGCTGCGGAGGGGAGGGCAAGGTGCCTGGGCCCGGCCCGTGTATTTGCCCACACGGAGGCCTGATAAGTGGGCTGTGTAGACAGCGCGGCGTGGTGGACCGGGGCCATCTGCCGTGCGTCGGTGGGGAGAGACCGCACCTGCTGCTCTGCAACCCTGACCTGGCCAGAGAGGGGCCCTTTGTCACCCTGTCTTCAGCTTCCCTGGGGCCCCGCGGTCACGAGGAACCCGGGATGATTTTCCTCTCCTTGGGGAATAAAAACTGAATCCTCTAACTCGTGTTTGTTTTGATGAATTACTTCCAGGCTGCCGTTTGTTTGGAGAACAAAGCTCCCCAGCTGCAGGGAGGGTGGAGGCTGAGGGAAAACACCCGCCCGGCAGGCTGGCTTTCCAGACGGCTCGGCACAGTGGAGCGCGGGAGGCCTGGGTTCTCCTGGCTCTGCCATTGCGGGGGTGGGGGGGCGCGGTGAGGGGGGGCATGTGCCTCAGCTTCCTCTCCTGTCAAAAGGGGGATCACACTCGTGGTTCTGTGAGACTTACAGGCGTGTTGAGGGCGCCAGAAGGAATAATGTTCATGAAGAAAACGTATAACTGGTAACCTGCTCTAAACATCATAATGAAAGCGCCCCAACCTCTGGGGACTTCCCTGGTGATCCAGTGGCTGAGACTCCGTGCCACTCCCAATGCAGGGGGTCCAGGTTCGAGCCCTGGTCAGGGAACTAAGATCGTGCATGTAGCAACTAAGATTCCGCATGCCACAATGAAAATGGACCATCCCACATGCTGCAGCGAAGACCTGGTGCAGCCAAATAAAATAAATACATAAAAGTAAAAGTAAAAAAAAAAAAAAAAAGAGTGCTCCAGTCTTTGACCCAGTTTTCTGAACCAGTCAGGCCTGGTGTTAGCAGGAAGATGCCATCCTGCCATAGTCTTTGGATGTCTGCCTCTTCTCTTCGGAGTGGGCTGGAGGGTCATGTCGCTAATGTGTGAAACAAAAGCTGTGTAAACAGAACTTTAAAATATTGCTTATTTGTAGACTTTTGGATGGGACAAATGATGGTTGAATTTTATGAATTTGTTCCGGGGGGTGGGGGTGTCTCCTAGCTCCAAGAAGGTTCTCTTGCATTTTAGTCCTCTTTCCCATATCATAAATCCCCCTCCATTTTTTTCCCCTCCTGGGCCGTTCCTTTCAGTGTATAAACAAATCTTTGTGACCCCCACATGTCCCATGCCGGCAGCAGTAAGTCTGGGCCATCCGGACCGTCCCGGGAAGGTACTTCCCTGAGAACTGCTGCTCCTGGTCCCCTGTGGCCCACACGACACTCTGTGGCCCGAGTGAGCTTTCCAAACCACTGGTCAGATCACATCACGCTATGGTTTCAATTCTTCCCCGAGTTCCCACTGTGCGCTCCTGGAGCAGAAGCCAAGCCCAGGAGGCCTGTGGGATCCTGCCCCACTCCCTGGCTTGGCCCCCTGTCCCCAGCCGTGCTAGCCTCTGTCCCACCCTGTGACCCAGCTGAGTCCTTCCCCTCCGGGGTGGCCCCTTGCTGCTCCTCCCAGAGTGGAGCCCTGCCCAGAGCCGCACGGCTGCGTCATCCTCACTCTTAGGCCTCAGTTTTGAGTCTCCCCCTTCTCCGCTCCCAGATAGAAGCATCTCTCTGGGGATCTCTATGCATCACGTATTCCAGCTACTTCAGAGCTCTCGTTGGCACCGAGGATGACCTTACGTCTCTGGGATGTGGTCACAGTCTCTCTCCTTCCTTCCAGCCTGTCAAGGGCTTCCATCTTGTTCACTGATATAGCCCCAGCACTGGTACAGTGCCCGGCATACAGAAGGTGCCTAATAAACACAGTGCTTATTTACCGACTGGCTGTCCAGTATTGCTCTGTGTCTGATACGTATCATTAGAGTATTTGGGAGATGGTGGGGGTGGGGGTGGCTTGGAGAGTCTGAATCTGAATTCTAACTTTTCTTTTTGAGACAAGGAAGCTGCGATGAGAGAAGGCGAGTTACGTCACCAGGTGTCACAGCAGGGTGGTGGCAGAGCCAGCCTGTCCCGGTCTCAGCAGAGAGCCGACGGCGGCGCTGATGTTGCGGGTGCTAGTGGTGAGGAGAACAGTTGGCAGCCTGGGTCCCAGCGAGGCTGGAGGACACTATGACAGGGATCCGCTCTATCCGTGTGCACACCTCCTGCAGCCTAGCCTGCAGGGAATTGGAGGTGAAGCTGAGTGCAGGCCTCTCACGGCAGGTGTCGGCCCCCAGAGGGTCCAAGAGGCGGCCGTCTCACCCGTCTGGTGCCTCGCTGCCGTGTGAAAGCGACGCTAAGCCAGATGGATAGCCTTTGAATCACTGGGATGAGGCTAACACTAAAAGCAGGGCTGGGGTGAGGGGCCCTGGATGGAGGCCAGGCCCTGCGGGTCTCCAGGGAGAGGGAAGAAGTCCTGTCCGCGCGGGAGGGCAGGAGCCACGAGGAAGCGGGGGAGGCCAGGGACGGAGGCCAGGCCGGGCCTTCTCTTTCTCTTCCAGCTCCAAACACACCACATATTTCTTCTCTAACTGTTCCCATGTCCTCGGGCCCGGGCCTTCAAGTGGTGTTCACACCTACAACTCGCTGGCAAGAACCAGGCTCCAACAGGAGAGTAAGATTTCGAGCTGGGGGTTGATTGAGTTCCCAAACTGTCGGTCAGCACTTCCTGTTTGGAGTGGGCAGATGAAGGGAAGCTGGCTCTGGGGATAGGTGACCAGAGGTCTTAAAGAGCTGGGGACGGAGGGACGCTTTGCCAAGTGGGGCAGGCAGGGGCCCCTGGGCCGGCCACCCCCTGGGTCCGTCTCCGTGTGTCTGAGGCTGCCTTCTGGGGCTGTCTCCAGGAGGAGGCAGTGGTGGGCAATGCAGGAGGTGACTGCAATGCCCTGCCGGAGGCTTTGGGAACCTGCGGAAGCTTCCTCCTTCCTCAGCTCCCTGTTGTTCCAGCTTTAACCCCCGCCCCAACCTAGGGCCTGACCTTGACCTGGGCCCTGGAGGAGCTGCCGGGGAAGGGGCTCTTACCTGTCCTCTGCAGGATGTTCTGTCTGGCCTTGATGAAGGCCAGGATGTCGGAGTCCGTCTGGCTGTCCCCTGTGAGAGGGACAGATGACACTGGCCTCTCTGGGATGCTGGGGACAAGAACACATCCCACTTTACCATGCTTAACCTTTGGCCCTGGGATTCACCTTTCCAGGGCACTTTTCCGTGCTCATGGCTTTTCCGCTCTCACCCCCGCTTCTCTGCAGCCCCCGCAGCAAGCCGCCTGCACCCACGCGAGGCACGTGGTGCCTGGTCTTTTGGCTCAAACCCTTCATGACTGCCCATCAGCCTTGGGATGAAATTCGGACTCATCCCTGTGTGACCTAGGCTGCTCACTGCGCTCCAGCCACGCCGTTACTCTGATAGACCAGGCTCCTCCCGGCCTCCGGCCCTTTGCTTTGCTGTCTCCTCCTCCTGGGCTGCTCCGTACCCAGACCTTCACAGGGCTGCACGTGCTTTCAGCACCTCCTCCATCCCCTCACCCCCACCCCTCTCTGCCCCACCCCTAACTGACACAAACCAAGCCCATTCTGTGGTGGGCCTGCCTTCCTCAGCCCCCAGCTTAGGTGTCATATCCTCTAGGACGTGCACCCCCGCCTCCACCCCACAGGAGGTGACCACAAGGCCTGGCCTGAGGCTTTAGGAACCTGCAGAAGCTTCCTGCTTCCTCAGCTCCTTGTTGTTCCAGTTGCCCCCCTCGCCTCCCTGCCTTGGGCCTGACCATGACCTCAGCCCTGGAGGAGCCACTTAGCTAGCCCTTAGCTAGTTGCTCCTGAGACAGAGGTAACTCTTTTCCCTTCTCTCCTTAAAAACAGAACCCTACTATTTAGCCCAGCAAGTTGCCACTTTCAGAATACTACATTTCCCAGCCTTCTTTGCAGCTATGTGTGGTCAGGTGACCAGATTCTGGCCAATGAGATTTGGAAGAAGTGAGTATTTTTTTCCCCTTTAAAAAGGGAAGGATGCAAGTACCCCTTTCCCTTCTCATTTTCCATCCAACCCCTAGACGTGAAATCCTCCTTGAGAAATTCAAACGAGGTGCTCTCCTGGCTCTGGCAAACATCTGTCCTCACACCCATCACTCCACACGGCATGGACAGTATCCACTCCCTTGGGAGGTGGAGATGATTGTGTATAACAGAGGGTTGCTTATCATCTCATGCGATATTTGGCAATCTGACTGCAGCTCAGCGAGAAGAGGTAGGGCAGAGCTGGGGCAGGGAGGTGGGGGCAGTTGTGCCTTCCGTCCAGAGTGGGGGTGTAGGGGTGGAGTGGGGTGTGGTGGTGGGTGGAATTCACCCCTGGGCAGCCTGTGGAGAAAAGCAGGGCCTGCCGCGTGAAGCAGGGCTCATGGGTAGTCTAGTCAGAGGGCACTGGAGACACGCGTTGGGGGTAGGGGCCGCATCAGCTTTGCTCAGTCTGAGGCCAGGCCTATCAACTCCATCCCTTCTCACCTGGGGACTCTGCGTGGGGCCGGTGGGCTACATGGAGGCGCCCCTGGGCTGGCTCCTATTCCTTAAGTGGCCCCAGGTACATCGATTTACAAGGAACACACGGCCTGGGTGGTGCTAGTGCTAAAGAAGCCGCCTGCCAATGCAGGAGACATAAGAGATGTAGGTTCAGTTCCTGGGTCGGGAAGATCCCTTGGAGGAGGGCATGGCAATCCACTCCAGTATTCTTGCCTGGAGAATCCCATGGACAGAGGAGCTTGGTGGGCTACAGTCCATAGAGTCACTAAGAGCTGGACACGACTGAAGTGACTTAGCACACATGCACGTGAAGCCAACTCAGGCTCCCCAGGTGGCGCTAGTGGTAAAGAACCTGTCTGCCAGTGCAGGAGACATAGAGATTTGGGTTTGATCCCTGGGTCAGCAAGATCTCCCAGAGGAGGGCATGGCAACCCACACCAGTATTCTTGCCTGGAGAATCCCATGGACAGAGGAGCCTGGCGGGCTACAGTCCATGGGGTCGCAAAGAGTCAGACATGACTGAAGCGACTTAGCATGCACGCACGCACGTGAAGCAAGCCTGCCTGCATGGGGCCCCAGTGACTCTGGGGACACTTCCTCAGCTCTGGGAGTTGGCATCTGTGAGGAATTCCTGGGGTACCAGGGTGCAGGCCTGCCCTGGGCTCCATCGTGAGGCCACTGAACTGAGGGGCTGCCGGGGTTGTGAGAGAGGCCCGTGGGCGGTTTCAGCCCACTGCACCCATGGCAGGGCCATCACGGGAGTCAGAGGGGGAAGAAGACCACAGACCTGTCCTCCACGGGGGTGGCAGGGCTGCTCTGCCCCTGGCTGCGCAGGAGGGGGCCAGGCGAGGGCAGGATCTTCCTGGCATACACATCACTGTAAAGACAGATCAACAGGAGAAAAATGTATGGAAGGAGGTTTGCAGAGGAGAAATCTAGAGTTTATAGTTAGGAGCTCTATGGATTAAGAGTTTGTGCCTCCCGAAAACTCATATGTGGGAATCGGTTCCCCAGCGTGATGGTATCTGGAGGTGGGGCCCTTGTAAGGTAACTTGTTTGGATGAGATCATGAGGGTGGAGTCCCCAGCATAGGATCGGTGCCCTTATAAGAAAAGGAAGAGAAAGAAACCAGACCTGTCCCTCTGCTGTGTGAGGACACAGAGGAAGCAGCCACCTGCAGATCAGAAGGAGGTTCTCACCAGGAGCTGATCCCTCTGGACCTTCGCCTGGGACTTCCCAGCCTTCAGAACGGTCAGAAGTAAACAAACTCCTGTTGTCTAAGCTGCTTAGTCTATAGTTTCTCTTATGGCGGCCCAACCTGACCATGACAGAAGCCAAGACTCCTCTGTTATGGATGATGATCAGTCAGTTCAAGCTGCTATAACAGAATGCCATGAATGGGATGGCTTCAACTACAGGAATTTATTTCTCACTCTTCCGGAGGCTGGAGTTCTGAGATCAAGGGGTCTGCAGGGTCAAGACTGCCAGATTCTCCTTGTGTCCTCACATGGTAGAAAGAGAGTTCGTTCTCTGGCCTCTTTTTTTTTTTTTTAAATCAGGGCACAAATCCTGTTCATGAGGGCCCCACCTTCATGACCTAAAGACTCATCTCCAAATACTATCACTTTGGAGGTTAGATGTCAACTTATGAATTTTTGGAGGACACATCCAGTTTATGACATTCTGCCCCTGACCCCACTCCCCCCAGTTCACATCCTTCTCATGTAAAATACATTCGTTTCACTCCATGAGCCCCCGGCTTGTGCCAGCATCAACACTAAATCTCATCCGCTGAGATATCATCTAAATCAGATATGGGTGAGACTCAAAGAAGGCAAAAATGCCTTGTTGGTTGGGAACCTGTGAGACCTGACAAGTTATGTGCTTCCAAAATGCAATGATGGGACAAAGCATAAGACAGATATTTCCATCCATTTTACCTTTTCCATTCCAAAAGGGAGAAATAGGAGAGAGAAAGGGAGTGACAGGTCCCAAGCAAACCCAAAACCTACAGTGCAAACTTCACGGGACCTTAAGGTTTGAAAGGTCTTGACTCTCTTTGGCTTGATGCTCTACCCTCCAGACCCACTAGGGGTGAAGGTCCTGTCTTCTGGACCCATGGGTGGAGGTCCCTCATGGTTTTGCTGAGCAGCCCCACCTCCACATCTTTGGGCAGAGGCTGTCTGGCTTGTTGAAAGCGCCAACCCACCCCCACCCCCTGCCCCTTTTTGAAACAGAGGAGGCAGTTGTGATGATCTGTGAATTGCCTCTGGGTCATTCTTTCCTGGACCTAAAGGCTAATGCCCATTCACAGCGGATTAGCTCTATAGTCCCGTCCTGTGAGATCCGAGAGGCCCACCAGCCTCCCTTTCTCCTCCCTTCAGTTCAGTCTCAGTTTTCCCGCTAGGAAGGCTGATGAAGCACGCCATCCATGCCCACACTAGTCTCCCAGGGTTCTCTTCTGAAACATTTCCTCGGTTTTTGCAGTATGAATAGGCTGAGAATTTTCCAAATCTTTACATTCTAGTTCCTTTTTGCTTAATAATTCCATCTTCAAATCATTTCTCTCTTCTTGAATTTTGATCTCAGCAGTCAGGAGGGGCCAGAGCCTCTCCTGCAACACTTTGCTTAGAAATCCCCTAAGTTAAACATCCGGTTTTGTCACTTGCAAATTATTCCCTCTACAAAAGCCCAGAGTGTGAATGTGTGAATGTAGTTCAGTCACATTCTTTGCCACTTTAGAACAAGAGCACCTTTTCTTCAGTGTCCAGTAGCATGCTCCTTGTTTCTGAGACCTCACCAGAATGGTCTTTACCATCCATATTTCTGCCAACATTCTCTACATGGTTATTTTTTTATTCTTTAAGAAGATGGACATGTTCTCTACAGCTCTCCTCCTTCCTGTTTTTCTTTCTTTCTTCCTTCCTATTTTTTTTTTTTTGGCTGCACTCCGTCTTCATTTGGTGGCTCGGGCTTAGCTGTCCCACAGCATGGGGAATCTTAGTTCCTAGACCAGGGATCGAACCCACATACCCTGCATTGGAAGGCAGGTTCTTAACCACTGGACCGCCAGGAAAGTCCCTCCTCTTTCCTTTCTGAGCCCTCACCGGAACTGCCTTTAAAAGTCCATTCACGATGATGTTAGTGTCTTACAGCATGAGCTTCAAAACCCTTCCAGTTTCTAGTCATGACTCAGTTCAGAAGCTGCTGCTACATTTCTAGGTATTTGTTATGTACGGTATTTATTTCTATTCATTTCTAGGTATTTGTTACGTAGGGTATTTGTAACACCCTACATCTTGTGCTAATTTCTGACTGAGTCAGTTTGGGCTGCTATAGCAAAGTATCACAGGCCGAATGGCCCAAACAATGGAAATTCATCACTGCTCGTGGCTTTGGGGCTGCGAGTCTGAGGTCAGGTTGCTGGCATGGTTGTGTTCTGATGAAAGCCTTCTTCTGGGTTTCAGACTGCTGACTTCTTGTTGTGCTCTCAGGAGGGAGAAAGAGAGAGCTAGTTCTCTGAATTTTTTCTTTTTAAGATTTTTTTTTTTTTGATGTGGACCATTTTAAAAGCCTTTATTGGTTACAATAGTGTTTCTGCTTTATGTTTTGGTTTCTGGGCCGCAAGGCATTTGGGATCCTAGCTCCCTGAAGAGGGGTCGAACCCATGTAACCTGCGTTGGAAGGCAAAGTCCTAAGCACCGGGCCAGCAGGGAAGTCCCTGGACTCCCCTTACAAGGAATAATCCTGTTTTTGAGAGTCTCACCCTCATGACCAAATTACCTCCCAAAGGCTCCACCTCTTAATGCCATCTCACTGGGGATTAGCGTTTGACATGAATTTGGCGGGGGGCACAAACATTCCGTCTATAACAGATGTTTACACGTTAATTCTCTTTGTCAGAGCATTGCATGTACCGGCTGTGGAAGCTGGACAAAGACAACGATGATCACAGCTGTCATTTATAGGAGTGGCTACACAAAGGTCCTGGGAGGGCGCTTGGCAAACATCACCCCACTTAATCCTCTCGATAGCCTCCTCATCCCCATTATATAGTTGAGAAAAGCTGAGGCTTAGGAAGGTTAAAGAGATACCCAGCTGGTAAGTGGCAGTATCTGGATTTAATCACAACGCAGTGAAGCTTCAGAACTTGAGCTTTATTTTTATTTTTGGCTGTGCTGGGCCTCCGTTGCTGTGTGTGGGCTTTCTCTAGCTGGGGTGGGCAAGGGGTCCTCTCCAGTTGTGGTATGCGGGCGTCTCATTGCAGTGGCTTCTCTTGCTATGGGGCACTCGGCTCTCGGGCTCGGTCAGTAGTCGTGGTTCCCGGGCTCTAGACTACAGGCTCAGTAGTTGGGGCACACGGGCTTAGTTGGCCCTCAGCACATGGACCAGGGATTGAACCAGTGTCTGCGTTTGGCAGGTGGATTCCCAACCACTTGTGCTTTATTAACCAGACTTGACTCTGGCATTCTGAGGACACACATGGTGGAGACACACGGCCTGTTCCTGGCCGTGTGGATGACCCTGGGTGGCCCTGGTTGACCGGCTCTGTGCTCCCTGAGCCAGGAGTCAGAGCCAGCAGCTCCTCAGATGCAGCTTTGCATGTTTAATGGATGCGGCTCCTTGCCTTGGACCCCGGTTGGGAGGCAGTGGAAATCAGCAGCACCCCCAGGAGGTGAAGAGATAAGCTGTCCAGGATGGCAGTGGCGTGAGAGATCCCCCCCACCTTGCTTTACGACGTCCTGCCTAGACTACAGAGTCCGAGCAGAACGAGGCCTGCAGAGTCGCCTGGCCAGAGTCCTCCTTTTCCTGATGGGGACTCGAGGGATGATTGGCGGTAGGGTTGGAGACAGGGGCTCTGGCTTTGCCCGATTAGCTGCTGTTCCAGCCGTGAGCACCGCTTCCTCCCCAGTTCCAGCCTTCTGCCTTCTGTCTCAGCGAGCGGCAGGGTCTCTTACCCTGGGCCTGCCTGTACTGGCTCGGGACTGCGGGTCCTACAAACAGGAAAGGAAACAGAGCCTGGGATTTTTTTTTTTTTTTTCACCCCCAGCATCTCAGAGACTGCATTGAGTCTGAGAGAGCGGGGCATCTGTGCTGTTTGGCCAGGGCTGCTGCAGGACCAGAGGTGGCCGCAAGGTGGCAGGTTCTGCCCGCCTTTCTTTGGAGAACAGATGCCGGCTCCTGGAGCTCTTTCTGAACGGTGTTTGGGGTGCAGCCTCAATATGAGAGGGAGAAAGGGCTTTCCAGCCTGCAGGTGCTGCAATGACACCAGGCCGAGGTCAGTTTGGAGACTGTAGGAAGTCTTGAAAGATCCAGCCATTGGCATGCAAATGGCTTAGGAACTCAACGGTTTCCCAGATGAGATGCTGGAGCGTGCTCACAGGTGCCAGCTACTGAGAGCTGGGAGTGGGTGGAAGAGGGCGGAGCTGGACCTGGCGGGGCAGAGGGCAAGACCACACCAGGGCAGAGGGGGCATCTGGCACCCTCTGTGGGGGCCCAGCCGCCCAGCCCGTTGCCTCTAGCAGCTCATGCAGGAGGATGGTGCAGTATGGAGGCTGTAGTTCCAGGACGGGGGTAGGGGGCTGTGGGGTGGGGGGGATGGGGGTGTGGAGGAGAAGGACTCCTCCAGCCCTGAGGCTGCAGGAGCGTCCCAGGATGCCACAGCCTCTGAACCCTCAGGGTCATACTGCAGTGACCTTTGTCCTCTCTCCTGACCCTCCAGCCTTTGACACTGAATTCATTTCTCATGCAGATGTGCCTTCTTGGAGAGACAGCACGCCAGCCATCAGAACTGATGGTCTCTTTCTTCATAAGGATTCATAAGTATTATTAATAATGATTAGGCCTCCCGAGTTGCCCATCAGAGTGCCATGAATTTAGTGTGATTGGCCCACAGGCCCTGAACGTCCCTGGGGAAGGGATGAAGTCAGAGCCTGAGGAGCAGAGGACCAGCTCCCGGGCTGCGGAGGGTCCATGGGGAGCGGCTTCCCCGGGGCTCAGCGGAGAGCAGCAGCTGGACTCCCTCTCTCCTGCTCCGGCAGCTTTCAACACTGAAAGCTGGGACACTCGTCTGTTCCTGGAAGGACAGTGACAGAGGGACCTGGACACAGCTTATGGATGAGACAAGGGCATGCCAAAGGGGGATGCTGACTTGCCCGAAGGCCTGCGGCTCAGGAGAGCACCCTGGGTGAAAGTTTAAACTGAGGGGACTCCTTGCAGGTAACCCATGGTGAGCTGATGGGCACCTTCGAGATCCAAGGTTCTAAACCTCAAGGTTTAGGATCTATGGTAAGCACACCCAGGGGTCACTCTAATTTGGGATGGGTGTGTGCATGCTCAGTCGCTTCAGTAGTGTCTGACTCCTTGTGACCCCATGGACTGTAGCCCGTCAGGCTCCTCTGTCCATGGGATTCTCCAGGCAAGAATGCTGGAGTGGGTTGCCATGCCCTCCTTCAGGGGGTCTTCCCCACCCAGGGGTCGAACCTCCGTCTCTTGCCTCTCCTGCACTGGCAGGTGGGTCCTTTACCCCTTGTTCGATCTGGGAAGCCCTAAACTTGGGATACCCAAGGAATATCCTGGAAGGCCAAGGCCAGATGGGCCATTCCTCTCAGGCAAGGCAGATGCTGGGGGAGGTTCCAACAGTGTTTCCCAAGGAGATCCTAGGAGGTCTGCCCAGTGGTCGGGTCTTAGACCCAATCCAGGGTAGACACTCTCTTAGAAGAGATGGCAGTGGATGGACACGTGGACAAACTATAATAAGAGAGTTGCCTTGGTAGAGAGGGAGGAGCGGGGAGAGGCATCGGGAGGAAGATGAGAAAAGGGAGAAAAGGAATGTAGGATGGGGGGGGTTAGGGAAAGTGAGGAAGGGAGGAGAAGTGGTGGGGGGGAAGAAGGGAGTGAAGGAGTGAGCAGGAGGGAGGAGGCAGGGGGGAGTGGGAAGGAAAAAGCGCTGCTCAGCCTGGAGCCTGCAGTCGGGCTGAAACTGCAGGTCTTTCCCTTCATTTTTGTTTGTTGTTTTTGGCCACACCTCTTGTTAACCTCAGAACTCAGAGCATCACAGCAATGAATGATGTTGCCGTTTCTCCACATCCTCACCAGCATTTGGTGGTGTCAGTTTTGTACATTTTACTCTAGCCATTCTCATAGGTGTGCAGTGATACCTGGTTTTTGCTCTAATTGTAATTTGCAATGATCTGTGATGCATCCTGTCACACACTTATTTGCCATCTGTATATCTTCTTTGGTGAGTGACTGTTCAGATCTTTTGCTGACATTTATATATTTATATATATATACATATATATATATATATTTCAAACATTTTCTCCCAGTCTGTAGTGTCTTTCATAGAGCAGCATTTTTCATATTTATAAGATCAAACTTCTCAATTTTTTTTTTTTTTCTGTTGTGGGATCTAAACTGCCTTTTAAAACACCAGGGTAGCCAAAGAGGACACACCTTGCCGGCTGTTAGCCTGGGGCTTAAGAACTCACGTTGGCCCATGTTTCCTAAAGCTGGAATACAAGCCAAGCTATTGGCCCTGAAGGCCAGCTTAGAGGGTGTGAAGAGGTCCAGGGAAAATGTCAACCAGGTGGGGGACGGCTCACTGGTTGGCTGCTTTAAGAACAGGTTTAAATTTTTAAAAAATTTAAAAATTTTTTTGGCCACACCACTCAGCCTGTGCTATCTTAGCTCCCTAAACATGGGGTATTGAACCCATACCCCCTGAAGTATAGAAGCCTGGTGTCTTAACCACTGGACCACCAAGGAAGTCCCAAGTGTAGGTTTAGATTTAGAGGGAAGTTGCAAAGCTATTACAGAGAGTTCGCATGTACCTCACTTCCCGTTTCCCTTATTATGTAATCTCACATTCAAGTGAGGCACATTTGTTGCAGTGCTGATACCCTGCTATTAACTCTAGTCCTCTTGTTATTTGGCTTTTCTGAATCTTTCTCATCCAGTCCCCGTCCAGGACAGCACATTCCATTTGGCCATCACATCTCCTCGGGCTCCTCTTGTCTCTGACGGTTTCTCAGAATTTTCTTGCCTTTGATGCCCTTGGGCAGGTATTTTGTTGAACGCCCCTCAACTGGGACTCGTCTGACCTTTTCCTCATGATTCAATGGGCATTATGGGTTTTTGAAAAGAAGACCAGGAGGCAAAGTGCTGTTCTCATCACAGCCTCACATAGAGGACACTGTCTGGCAACCCCATCCCTACCCCCTTTAAAAAGCTCTATTTCACATTCCAGCATGAGAGCTTGGCTCCTGTTCAGACCCAGTCAAGGATCGGGCGCTGGCGGCGGAGGTCGAGGCCCTGCTCCCGCTGGCCTGGCCACGATGCTAGCCGCCTGTCTGAGGGTTGGAGGCTGCACGAGGCAGGTGTCGTTGGCTCCACCAGCTGCTCTGCACCCCCTCCTGAGCTCCCTGGGTCCTGGCAGGCCGACTACCCACTGCCTTGCACCAACATCCCCCCTGAGGTCACCCTTCCTTCTCCCCTCTGCCAATCGTTTCTTCCTACCCCAGGGCGGGACCGCGTCCACGGTCTGGCTAAGTTGCTCTTCTTATCACTGCGGCAGCAGGTCCCCTGGCTGTCAGAGCCAGAGGGACAGGGCTGGGAGTGGGGAGGTCCTCCTGCAAGCCTTAGTGAGAGCGTTTAACAGTACAAGTCACTTGTTTTCCTGGATCACACAGCCTACAGAGAGACTTTTAGGGCATCGACTGGGTTGGGCGAGAGAGGTAGAGTACCCCAACCTGTTGCAGGGTTCTCCCCTTACCTCTTGTTAGAGAGGGGCTGGGACCTTTCATGCTGGGCTTCTGACATCTGGGGAAAGGGCTTCATGTGATTCGATGCAGTCACTGCTGGCAAGTTTACCTGCTGGTCCAGGAGAAAGTTTCACAGTGTAAGCATGAATCTAAATGACAGGGGAAACTGTCTTTGATGTATTTCTCAAGAGGAAAGAACTAGATATAAAAGTTGGAATGTACAACATGTATGGGGAAAAAAATAGATCTAGATATAGCCGTGGAACATGCTGATGGGCGTGGAAACCTCTCTGGACAGCAGGCTAAGGGGTGATGTTTGATTCATTCTGTGTGCTTTTCTCTGTTTTCTGAGTTCTCTAAATTGAGCCTGCATTATTTTTTTTTTTAAATACAATTTTAAAAATTATTTATTTATTTATTTCTGGTTGTGCTGGGTCTTCTTTGCTGCCAGGGCTTTTTCTCTGGCTGCGGGGCACAGGCTGCTCACTGTGGTGGCTTCTTTTGTGGAGCAAGGCTCTATCTAGGGCACAAGGGCTTCAAGAGCTGCGGCTTCCGGGCTCTAGAGCACAGAGTCTGTATCACTTTCTGAGGTTAAGAAAAGATAATGTACAGTGTGATCTGACAGTTCTCCAGAAGTCCTTTCGGCTTTGCCTTCCCTCATCCCAAAGAGATGCTGGCAGAGTCAGGGGTGACGCACTCAGCACGGTATGTGGGGGCAGCCGGGCTGGAGTCCTAGAGACCTAGTGCGTCTCCACACAGGTCTCTGGGGCAGCAGTTAAACCTCAGCTGACCCGAGGCTTAGCAGAACGCCCCCCCGATTCTCCCAGAACAGGAGGGCGTGGGAGGCTGGTGAGCAGCTGCTGCCAGGCCACTTCCCCCGTGCCTCGCCATCTCCCTCGGAGGCTGTCAAGGGGCAGCTTCTCATCACCTCCCGCCTTCCAGTGAGGCTTATGGCTTTCTGCCCGTCCCACTCAGGCTTCCTGCTCAGGCTATGAAATGGCGGCGTGGCTGCATGGAGCTGACCCCCCAGCTACACGTGACCCATCGCCCCTGCTGTGGTCTCCTGGTCCCTTCTGCTTCCGGGACATCCTTCAGGGTGGAAGGCCCACGCAGTGACACCTTGGCTACCCTGGCTTTCACGGTCCATGTGAGCAATAAACGGTCTGACGCCTCCAGCCTCGACGGGACTCTTCCTGGATCACAGGGGATGACTTACGCAACTGTCCCGCGGCCAGATGCCCGTGGGCACCAGCAGGGGCTAACGGCCTCACCCACTGATGACCTCATGAGGGAGGCTTCCTTACTGGAGGACAGACAGAACCCAAGGGGTGCTGTGAGTGTGACCGGGAACCAGGGACATCTTTATCCTTCCTAGCTTCTACCTGAAATTTAACATTTCTTTCAGTGATTACATGTAGACAACAAACCACAGTAGGATGGATGGCCCCAATGACTCCGTAACCAGTAGAGATTACAGTTATTTTCAGATCATGTTACAGTGGGTAATCTGTACAGCAGAAATCTTGAAATATTTGTATTCATTACTACTTTGAAATTTTGGTAAGTATCGAGCATTCCCCCAGATCTTATTAATTCATGCATTTGTAAAACAGTATACATATTATTATACCATAACTTTGCTGCTAAAATATTATGATAACTGTACTTCTGTCTAACTGGTTTTTTTATTTGTCATTGTGTGTATTTAATTTTATCCAAATAGGCTTCTCCAGTGTCTAGTCACAGGCGGCAGTAACGTACGGGTTATGGCTTTGGGTCTTTGGGAAAATATCTTCCGTGCTCTTAGCTTCCTCATCCTTAAAATGAAGTGAGCAGCCTGTGAGATGACCTTGAAGGGTTCTGCCAGCCCCACGAGTGGTAGAATTATGTGTATGTCATCTCCTTTGTTGCACACAGCTGAGGGGAGGTCACATGAGGGTGGCTGGAACTTGGGGTTTGTAACTAACATTTCTTAATAGGTTATTTTAGCCTTTATGATATTGTAGAGTACTTCTAGGAATTTGTCTAGGAAATGTGCAAAAACGTTTCTTCAGATACGTTTCCAGGGAACCAGTCCCCAAACAACCTAAACATTAAACAATAGGAGATTAAATATATTAAAATAGATCCATATGCTTGAATAGTGAGGGCCTTGGAATGATGTCATGGAATAATAACATGGAAGAGGTGGCAGGCTGGACAACTAGGTAAAAACAAAGGCATTTGTAATACTTAAAAGACTAATATGGGCACTTCCCTGGTGGTCCAGTGGTTAAGAATCTGCCTTGCAGTGCTGGGGACACAGGTTCGATCCCTGGCTGGGGAACTAAGATCCCACATGCTGGGGGGAAACGAAACCCACGCCCTACAGCTACTGAACCTCTGCATCGCAACTAGAGAGTCTGTGCGCAGCAACCAAGATCCCTCGGGTCGCAACTAGGACCTGGCACAGACAAATAAATACATTCATATTTAAAAAGAAGGAAGATTTCTTTCTTAAAAAAAGACTAATATGATTCTACTTTTATAAAAGCATGTGGATGTACATGCATAAAAATATAAAATAATATAATCCAACATGTTATATCGATTATCCTTAAGTGGTGGGATTATGGTAATTTTACCTTGTGTATATATTTATAACATATATAAAAATATATATGTATAACTGTAATAAAGAACAATCAAGTGTTGTCACTCCATCACAGGAAGTAACGGTGGCAAATCCCTTGGCTTAGGGAGTGAACCCCCACCCCCATCTTTCCATGGGTCAGGCATTAGCAAGGGTTGAACAGTGAGCCCCGGACCACTCACATTCCTTGTTACTATTGAGCACTCACTTCAGGAGGCAGGGGCTGAGAGTGAGTTCGGTGTGGGTCGAGGACCCCCATTCTTTTCCCTCTGCATCGTCCCCCGCCCCCAGGGGAGGGCTGCATGTCTGGCCCCTCCTTGGCTGCCTGCCAGTCCCTAGACCGAAAGAGGAGGGCAGATTCTGGGGCAGCAAGGGGCACAGCGGCCAGTACCTGCAGGCTGGTTGCTTCCTCGGCCCACCAGGCTTCAAACTCTTTCTGCAGCTTCACCTTGGCTTTGTCCATGAGCAGCTGCAAATGCTCTATCTCCACCTTCAGGGCCTTCAGGCGTGCGAACATCATTTTGTATCTGCAGTGGAATCAGAGAAGGGGGGGAGGAAGGGTTCGAGAGACCAGGGTGAGCCTCAGAAGCCCGGCAGAACGGCCGTGGTGCCCAAGGCCAGAACATGGCGCTGGTGTGTGAGCCCAGAGCCGGGCATTTCTGTCCAGCGGGCCATGGGCTCCCCTAGAAGGCTGGCTGTCATTACTGGGCACTGAGGGGCAGGCGTTGCTCTAGCCACCTGCTGTCTACAGACTCATTCAGTCCCCTTCACCACCCTAGGAGGAAGGTGCTATTATAACCATCTCCCCTTCACGGGTCTGGAACCTGAAACATGGAGAGGTTAAGGAACGTGGTCCTTAGCACCGAGCTAACAATCACAGGAGGCAGGGTTTGAACCCAGGCCATCCGGGGATGAGGGCAGGGTGACGGTTCACTTGGGGCACATGCCTAGCCAGCTCAGGGGTGGGTGGCTTGGGTGGCAGTGACATCATTGCCACCTGCGAGCAAGGAAAGTTTCTTGTTTGGTTTCTCACAAGCAAATCTCTCCAGGGCAGAGGAGATAGCCAACCTCTCTGCTGAACGCCTAAATGAAGAAACGAACTGAGATGCTTGTATTAGTAATGACCACAGGACTGTTTACACTTGAGGCTCCTCGCTCTGCAGGTTACATCATTCTGGGGCCCTCAGTGGCTGCAGGAGGATCTGATGTTCTCCGTCACTCTGCAGGTAACCAGCTTCTGAAGAGGAGCGAGGTGGAGGCCCTCTGTGGGCATACTCCCGGGCTCCCCTAGAGGGCAGCAGCAGACAAGACTTGCTGCTTCCGGGGCTGCAGCCCGGACCCCAGGCTGCAGAGGCTGCAGATGGCGACCAGTTCTCCCTGCCTGAGTCAGGGATCCTGGCTCTGGAGCCTGGCTGCACTTTCTATTCCCCACTCCAGCCTCATCCTTCCTCGGCTGGCTTCCTGCACCTCACGACTGCCTGCTTAAAGGTGGCGCCTCCTCCAGCTGATTTAGGACCCTCTTCTCAGAGGAGCTGCAGGCCTGGGTCGGCGGGGTGGCGGGTGGTGGCCCCCCCCTGCCCTGCCCCAAAGCTCCAGGTGGTCCCGAGGGTCCTCTAGGGGCAGGGGTGGTGGTGGTGGTTGGGAGGCAGGGATCAGGGTGTGTGCGGCGAAAGGAATGGGTACCTTCTCTTCTCTTCCTCCAGCTGTGATCGCAGCTTCTCTTCCAGCTGGTCTGGCACTGAGGGCACGGGGATGTTTTCTGAGATACCTGGAGAAGGGAGATGCTGAGAGCTCACTCCAGGGAGGATGAAAGGGAAAGTGTGATGTTTAGAGCAGATGTCAGAGTCATCGTGCCTCCCAAGGTGAGAGGAGACCCTGCGAGTCCCTGTAGGGTCTCTGGACGGGAGCTTGCTTCACCCGTCACCTCTGGTGGCAGCCTCTGCTTGGCCGAAAGGCCACGAGGAGGCTTCCGTGATTATGCTTTGGATGTAAACCCACAGTCTTCCTTATTCCTTATGTCACTATCAGTCCTTTCCCTGTAGGGTTCCCTCATTCCTTCTTGAGTCATCAGCGAAGATGCAAAAGAGCATTCCCCCTTCTTTTGATACAGAGCCCATCATAAACCAAGAAGGCATCACTGAATTAGCTCACATCTTACCTCACACCACCTAAGGTGCCGAATTCTCCAGCCTCAAACCACGTGCCCCACTTTTGCCTTCCCCCCAAAGCACTGCTTCTAAGCCTGATTAACCCAACATGCATCTGGGGCTGAGACCCACGCTCAGATGCCCTGTCCTGGGGGCAGCATGACAGGACCCTCGCAAGCCCTAGGTGAGGGCTGCGACCCCGACATGCCAGCCGCTGCTGCTGGTTGCCAGGTTGCCAGCTCCGGGTGCTACTGGGCTTGTCTGGAGCCCATTGCCCAGTGGTTGGGGTCTGTCTATCCTCTCAGGAGGCTTTCGGTGGTTGTACGGCATGTCTTACTCAGAAGGCATCTTAGAAGTCATGCAGCCCCACTTTCTGCTCCTTGGAGGGGAGACTCTACCACGGGTCGCGCACTTAATGGACATGATCAGACAATTGCTCCCATTTTACAGATAAGGGCATGGAGGTTCAAAGAGGTCAACCTGCCCAAGGCCACACAGCTAACTAGAGGAGCTTGGATATAAATCCAGGTTTGTTTAGTTGCAAGGGCTCTGAAATCAGAAATTGCTTCGATAATGATTTTGAGGATGGTCAAGTGCTTTCTGCCATGGTATTACCAGGTGCTGGGCTCACTGCTTTGCATGAGAGCACATCATTAAGGGCAGCTCTGTTTCCCCCCCCCCCCCTTTTTTTCCCTCTCTGTTTCCTCTTAGCTGGAGCTGAGACCTGCCCCACTAACTTCTTTTCACCTCTACTTTGGACCTTTGGAGCAGCACAGTATGTCCTCCTTCTTAATCTGACGATTCTTTAAATATTTTAACAACCACCACCACCACAAGCTGTCACATCTGTCTGGAGCTTTATTCTCAGGCTGACTCCGCCCAATTCCCTCATCTTAGGCTCAGTGACATGGTGACCTTCTAACTGATCGTAAGTACGGAGTCTGCATCTGGACATCATATTCCAGACAGGCCCAGGAGGGGCAAGGTGGAGGACAGTTCTCCTAGCTTTGAAAAATCCATGTTCAGTATTTCTATAGGAGGTGAATTACTAGCAATGACCATTACTGAGCGTCTCCTATATTCCAGATCCTGCCAAGTCCTATGAAGCACTGGGCTAGGTGCTCTATTCACCTTATTGCTAATTCTCAAAATAACCCAGCAGGAGAGGCATTACCAGCTCGTTTAAATTAAGAGTCTGAGGCTCAGAGAGATCAGTAACTAATTCCAAGTCACACAGTTAACAAGTGGTAGAGCTGGGGTGTGAACCCAGTTTCCCTGGTTCTAAAGAGCTAAATGCTTACACCAGGCAACATCCAGCACTGCGTTTGTATTTCAGCAGTGTGGACATTGTCATGGCTATGTCAGTTTGTCACTGTCCTCTATTAGTCTTGTAGTCAGTTGACATATGTTTCTATTTTTATGAGTGGTTGTCAAAATGCATTCTATTTCACAGTGACTGTCCTTTGGATCCCAGATGCAACACTTCCCATTCATCGGGGGTTTAACCTGCTGAGGGGTCCTCATTCTGGCATGCCACTATTCTTTCCCTTTTAGTTGCTTTTTATGTTGCTATCTAACTCACTGACAAATATGCTAAGCGGATTGGGATTCTGTTCTTTACCTGCCGGGCACCTGTTTCTCTCTCCCTTGTGTCAAGGGTCACCTGTCACTTGTAAACTGGCTGAGCAAGCGTCTCACTCCATAGACACCATAGACTTCCCAGAGGAAGTCTGTGCTGGCCCCCAATCCGGTGCATCTTAGTGGGCCTAATGATCCAGACTGCCCATCCTAGTCACCCGTGGCTTCCCCAGACCCAGGCAGCGCAAGTCCCCAAGGGCAGGGACTGCTCCCTCTGCTCTTTGTCCAGACTCCAGAGCACTCTCGGTGCCCACAGTGTTCATGGGCCCTTGTCCACGGGAAAAGTCAGGAAGTACCATAATGCCATGCTGATAACTATGGGACTCGAAATATGAATATTTCCTGTCCTAACAGTATCTGCAATGGGCGCATGTATCTCTGAGTCTGTTAAAAAAAAAAAAAAAAAAAGCTGTGACTCTTCTTCATTTTAACACTTTTTGACCCAGACCAAGGAACTCCGAGAGACGCAGTGAAGACCCTGCTCTGGGGGAAATGAAAGTGTGAAAGTGAAAGTCACTAGGTTGCATCTGACTCTTTTTGACCCCATGGACTATACAGTCCATGGAATTCTCCAGGCCAGAATACTGGAGTGGGTAGTCTCTCCCTTCTCCAGGGGGATCTTCCCAACCCAGGGGTTGAACCCAGGTCTCCCGCATTGCAGGTGGATTCTTCACCAGCTGAGCCACCTGAGGCCAGATCGTCCTCAAGGGTGGGGACGTTGGCTTTGTGAGAGCTGAGAGGCTGGGGGCTGCTGAGGAGAGGGAATGGTGTGATCTGTTCCTTTGATGGCCAAGCCAAGTAGTTGATTTGCCGGTTAAGACAAAGCTGCTGCAAACAGAATAGTTAATGCGAGGTGGCGCCAGGGTAGTGAAAGGATCTGGGAAAGAAAGCTGGGACTCCGGGACTCAGGCAGCCAGAATGAGGGCACAGCGTACCCCCAAGACACAAGCCATCCGCGTTGCCATGGGAACCAAAGGGGCCTCTCTGCCAAAGTGATGTTTGCTGAGTGAAATGCATTGTAACCCCACCAGGAGACAGCCCCTGGCTACTTCTGCTGCTTCCTGAGGCTTGGCTTATCAGCCGTCTCTCAAGAGAAAGAGGGGCTGGGAGCTCAGTGGGAACCAGACAAAGTGGCTGAGCAGGAACAGAGGCAGGGGGAGCAAGTAAAGGGCAGTTGGGCTTCGTGTGTCTCGGTGCCCACTGGGCCTGCGGCCAGCAACAGGGCCTCTGGTCGCCTGACAGTCACCTCCTTTCAAGCCGGGCCCCTGGCTGGGATGGGAGCACAGGAGGTCAGAGCCCTGAGGGGCCCAGGAGGTCACACTATGGGCAGCCGGCCCCCAAACAACACACAAGCGAAGAAGGAGGGCTTAATTCCAGCGCCTGTGGGTCTGAATGTCACATACAGAGGAAGCCCCCGAGCAGTCAAAGGGTAACCAGAACTTCAAGCAGGGCCCGCACATTCCCAGGGTGACCCTACTACCTCTGATGAGTTAGGTGTTGGGGAATCAGCAGCATAAAGAAAACAGGGGCGCTGGTGGGGTAGGCCAGCCTCCTGTGGGTCTGCTTATACCTGGCTTGATTTTGGGGGCACTGGAAAGATCACCTCCCTGCACCCTACACCCCCCCCCCTCCCCAAACTCTCCTATAGTCAGTCCATGTCTGAAATGTGTGAATCTTACTTCTTTGGTTCACGGGCTCTTTACTGGGGGTGAACCTGAGAATCACCTAAGGAGCCTGTAAAAGCAAGAGACCACTGGGCCCTACCCCGACACATGGAGTTAGGATTTGATGGCAGATGCCCCCTGTGATTCAGTGCTCACTCTTTGTTAAGAAACTGCTCAAGGGACTTCACTGGCAGGCCAGCGGTTAAGATTTAGCCTTCCAATGCAGGGGGAGCGGGTTCAATCCCTAGTCAGGGAGCTAAGACCCCACATGCCTTTTGGCCAAAAACCCAAAAGCATAAAGCAGAAACAGTATTGTAACAAATTCAATAAAGACTTTACAAATGGTCCACATCAAAAGAGTCTTAGAAAAGAATCTTAAAAAAAAAAAAAAGAAACCGCTCAAGGCTCTACATCCAATTTCAATGCAAGTACTTCATGTGGGAGTCACCGAGGATGCCAGACCTGCAGGGGTTCAGGTAAGATGCTCTATGGGGGCCTGAGTGGCACTTTACCCCCCGCCCACCTTCCAGATCTTTGGAAACCACTGTGGGGTGAAGGGGCTCAGGGCTTTGCAGCAAGAAGTCACGGTCTCCGTGGGGCTGGAGTCGCCTGCACTTGGCCCTCTCAGGTGGAGGATAAAATCTGAACATGTGACTCTCTGAGGCTCTTCTATAGCAGCTCCCATCACAGACAGGGAAACTGAGTTCTGACAGTGGAAGTGAGCTTCTCCAGGATCACACTGCAGGTAAAAAGAGCCAAAGTCAGGACCCTGCTCTGCCTGACTTCAAAGCTGGTGCTTCTTCCTCTGCAAGTGACCCGTACAGTGAAGGCTTGCCACAGGGCAGATCACTGAAGTTGGTATTGACTCGCCTTTGGTATTTGCAGGTGATGCTCTTTTGCGCGAATGCCTTTCTGATGTGGGGCTTGGGGGCTGAGAGAAACCCTCAGCCTCTCCCCCGTGTGCTGACCTGTGTGGACTGCCCTTTCCTAACCGAACCCACCACCTGTGCCCTGATCCCACTTGGCATTTGCAGCTCACCCGCCGGGTGTGAGGAACGGTCTCATCCACATTACCCACGGGAGCCTGGCACCTGAGGTCAGCCCCCAGAACACCCCGAGCCAGCCTGGTTGTCTCCTTAACTGTCTGCTAGGAGTCTCAAGGGAGGCAGGATTGACATTTCCAGCCAGGTACAACCGAAAGTCCCTTGGACCGCAAGGAGATCCAACCAGTCCATCCTAAAGGAAATCCTGAATATTCATTGGAAGGACTGACGTTGAAGCTGACACTCCAATACTTTGGCCACCTGATGTGAAGAACT